TTCACCGATTGGCCTCAAAATTGCTCCAAATTATTTCAACACATTTATCTTCAAAATGACCTCAGGGAATTTTGATCAGTGAAACGTTGTTTGAGCAGCGGAGCGGCAAAATGGGAAGTTTTTTTCTGCCGTTTTTGACAACATAAATTTTTTTCCCGTTTGCACATACAAAGTCTGATTTGCATCAAACTTGAATCCATTGTTCAACTCCAGGGTTTAGGTCAGGTGAAAGTGAAATATTTTAAATTGGCCCATTAGCGCCCCCTACAGACTGATTCAAAGTTTACATGGGGAGCCAAACCAGCTCTACTTATCATATTCATTACAATTTGACTAAGTTCTTCTATGCCTACGGGAACCAATCATCACACGGCGGCGCCACCTCCTATGCGCGGTGCTGCGTGGTACGGTGTGGTGCGGCGTAGTGCGGGGCGTTGTGGAGCGGTGCGTTGCGGCTTGGTGCGGGGCGGCTTGGTGCGGGGCGGCGTGATGCGGGACGGCGTGGTGCGGGGTGGCTTGGTGCGGGGTGGCTTGGTGCGGGGTGGCTTGGTGCGGGGTGGTGCGCGCGGTGCGGCGAGGGCCGTTCGACGCCGCTTGCGGCTTTAATTTATTTCTTTCTTTCTTTTTTCTTCTGCACTTTGAGCCTTAATTTGACCCCCTGAACATGCATGAAAAGTTGTTAATTTTGGCCCAAAAATCAGACCTGGCGAAAAATTTGATATTTTGGTGTTTATTTTTATGGGACTCAAAAAATGACAGAACAGCGCCACCTACAACAGCCAAAATAATACCCCTATGGGACTTTTCGGAGGTCAAGTTTGTCGTAGAAACATGAAATTTGGTACACATGTTTCTCAAGTCAAGACAAGAAAAAAATATTATTATGGCCCCGCCCCCTGACAAACAGGAAGCCCATAAATTTCACTGCAAAATGGAAAAATGAACTGCAAAAGTTTTCATACATGTCGGTTGGAAAGCGACTCCTCCTCGGCCGTTTCACCGATTCGCCTCAAAATCGCTCCACATCATCTCAACACATGTACCTTCAAAATGACCTCAGGGATTTTTGATTAGTGAAACATTGTTTTAGCAGCGGAGCGGCAAAATGTGACCTTTTTTTGGCCGTTTTTGACAGCATAAAATTTGCTCCCGTTTGCACAAACAAACTCTGTATAGCACAAAACTTTAATACATTGTTCAACTCTAGGGTCTAGGTCGTTTGAAGGTGAATTAATTCAAATTGACACATTAGCGCCCCCTACAGACTATTTCAAAGTTTTAGATGGGCATTTTCAAATTTAGTTTTTTCAAAATGTTTGAAATTTTGCACATACATCTGTTTTGCCCTCTTGATTCAAAAAGTCAATTGGGCCCAAGGCTTATTTTATACCCTGTTGCCGTGGCGACGAGAAACGCTCCCCATTCATTGCAAATGTACACCTCACACAAACATCAAACCAGCCTCGGCCGTTTCACCGATTCGCCTCAAAATCGCTCCACATTATCTCAACATATGTACCATCAAAATGACTTCAGGGAATTTTGATCAGTGAAACGTTGTTTGAGCAGCAGAGCGCCAAAAAGTGGCGTATTTTTTTTCAGTTTTTGACAATAGAAAAATTGTTTACGTTTGCACAAACAAAGTGTGATTGGCACAAAACTTGAATCCATGGTTTAACTCTTGGGTCTAGGTCAAATGAAAGTTCAAATTTTGAAATTGGCTCTATAGCGCCACCTACAACAGCCAATTTAAAAATGCCTATGGGAGGGGTTCAAGGTCAAAATTGCCGTAGAACCATGTAATTTGGTACACATGTTCCTCAAGTCAAGACATGGAAAAAATGTTATAATGGCTAATCCCTCTGACAAACAGGAAGCTCATAAATTTCACTGCAAAATGGAAAAATGAACAGCAAAAGTTTTCATACATGTCGGTTGGAAAGCGACTCCTCCTCGGCCGTTTCACCGATTCGCCTCAAAATCGCTCCACATCATCTCAACACATGTACCTTCAAAATGACCTCAGGGATTTTTGATCAGTGAAACATTGTTTGAGCAGTGGAGCGGAAAAATGTGACCTTTTTTTGGCCGTTTTTGACATTAAATTTGCTCCCGTTTGCACAAACAAAGTCTGATTTGCACAAAACTTTAATACATTGTTCAACTCTACGGTCTAAGTCGTTTGAAGGTGAATTAATTCAAATTGACACATTAGCGCCCCCTACAGACTATTTCAAAGTTTTAGATGGGCATTTTCAAATTTAGTTTTTTCAAAATGTTTGAAATTTTGCACATGAATCCGTTTTTCCCTCTTGATTCAAAAAGTCAATAGGGTCCAAGGCTTATTTTTTACCCTGTTGCCGTGGCGACGAGAAACGCTCCCCATTCATTGCAAATGTACACCTCACACAAACATCAAACTAGCCTCGGCCGTTTCACTGATTCGCCTCAAAATCGCTCCACATCATCTCAATACATGTACCTTCAAACTGACTTCAGGGAATTTTGATCCGTTAAACGTTGTTTGAGCAGCGGAGCGGCAAAATGTGAGGTTTTTTTTTGCTCTTTTTGACAACATTAATTTTGCTCCTGTTTGCACAAACAAAGTCTGATTTGCACAAAACTTTAATCCATTGTTCAATTCCAGGGTTTAGGTCAGGTTAAAGTGAAATATTGGAAATTGGCCCATTAGCGCCCCCTACAGACTGTGTCAAAGTTTACATGGGGAGCCAAACCAGCTCTACTTATCATATTCATTACAATTTGACTAACATTCTTCTATGGCTACGGAAACAAATCATCACACGGCGGTGCCACCTCCTTTTAGCGGTGCTGCGTGGTACGGTGTGGAGCGGCGCATTGCGGCTTGGTGCGGGGCGGCGTGGTGCGGGACGGCATGGTGCAGGGCGGCTTGGTGCAGGGCGGCTTGGTGCGGGGCGGCGTGGTGCGGGGAGTGCGCGCGGTGCAGGGAGTCGCGCGGTGCGGCGAGGGCCGTTCGACGCCGCTTGCGGCTTTAATTTCTTTCTTTCTTTCTTTTTTCTTCTGCACTTTGAGCCTTAATTTGACCCCCTGAACATGCATGAAAAGTTGTTAATTTTGGCCCAAAAATCAGACCTGGCGAAAAATTTGATATTTTGGTGTTTATTTTTATGGGACTCAAAAAATGACAGAACAGCGCCACCTACAACAGCCAAAATAATACCCCTATGGGACTTTTCGGAGGTCAAGTTTGTCGTAGAAACATGAAATTTGGTACACATGTTCCTCAAGTCAAGACAAGAAAAAAATATTATTATGGCTCCGCCCTCTGACAAACAGGAAGCCCATACATTTCACTGCAAAATGGAAAAATGAACAGCAAAAGTTTTCATACATGTCGGTTGGAAAGCGACTCCTCCTCGGCCGTTTCACCGATTCGCATCAAATTTGCTCCACATCATCTCAACACATGTACCTTCAAAATGACCTCAGGGATTTTTGATCAGTGAAACATTGTTCGAGCAGCGGAGCGGCAAAATGTGACCTTTTTTTGGCCGTTTTTGACAACATTAAATTTGCTCCCGTTTGCACAAACAAAGTCTGATTTGCACAAAACTTTAATACATTGTTCAACTCTAGGGTCTAGGTCGTTTGAAAGTGAATTAATTCAAATTGACCCATTAGCGCCCCCTACAGACTATTTCAAAGTTTTAGATGGGCATTTTCAAATTTAGTTTTTTCAAAATGTTTGAAATTTTGCACATAAATCTGTTTTGCCCTCTTGATTCAAAAAGTCAATAGGGTCCAAGGCTTATTTTTTACCCTGTTGCCGTGGCGACGAGAAACGCTCCCCTTTCATTGCAAATGTACACCTCACACAAACATCAAACCAGCCTCGGCCGTTTCACCGATTCGCCTCAAAATCGCTCCACATCATCTCAACACATGTACCATCAAAATGACTTCAGGGAATTTTGATCAGTGAAACGTTGTTCGAGCAGGAGAGCGCCAAAAAGTGGCATATTTTTTTTCAGTTTTTGACAATAGAAATTTTTTTTCCGTTTGCACAAACAAAGTGTGATTGGCACAAAACTTGAATCCGTGGTTTAACTCTTGCGTCTAGGTCATTTGAACGTTGAAATTTTGAAATTGGCTCTATAGCGCCACCTACAACAGCCAATTTAAAAATGCCTATGGGATGGGTTCGAGGTCAAAATTGTCGTAGAGCCATGTAATTTGGAACACATGTTCCTCAAGTCAAGACATGGATAAAATGTTATTATGGATAAGCCCTTTGACAAACAGGAAGCCCATAACTTTCATTGCAAATTGGAAAAATGAAAACCAATCATTTTCATAAACGTCGGTTGGAAAGCGACTCCTCCTCGGCCGTTTCACCGATTGGCCTCAAAATTGTTCCAAATCATCTCAACACATTTACCTTCAAAATGACTTCAGGGAATTTTAATCAGTGAAACGTTGTTTGAGCAGCGGAGCGGCAAAATGTGAGGTTTTTTTTGGCCGTTTTTGACAACATTATTTTTTTTCCCGTTTGTACAAACAAAGTCTGATTTGCATTAAACTTGAATCCATTGTTCAACTCCAGGGTTTAGGTCAGGTGAAAGTGAAATATTTGAAATTGGCCCATTAGCGCCCCCTACAGACTGATTCAAAGTTTACATGGGGAGCCAAACCAGCTCTACTTATCATATTTATTACAATTTGACTAAGTTCTTCTATGGCTACGGGAACCAATCACCACACGGCGGCGCCACCTCCTATGCGCGGTGCTGCGTGGTACGGTGTGGTGCGACGTAGTGCGGGGCGTTGTGGAGCGGTGCGTTGCGGCTTGGTGCGGGGCGGCGTGATGCGGGACGGCGTGGTGCGGGGTGGCTTGGTGTGGGGTGGCTTGGTGCGGGGCGGCGTGGAACGGGGGGGTGCGCGCGGTGCGGGGAGTCGCGCGGTGCGGCGAGGGCCGTTCGACGCCGCTTGCGGCTTTAATTGTTTTTATTTTTCTCCAGGAGATGAATGCTTTTGAGGAGAGGTTTGTTTGTGTGACGCAGCGGCTGCCGACCGGACTCTCCGCTCTCCAGACTTTGTCCAGACTTCCTCTGCCCAACTCTGTCTCTGAGCTCCAGATATTCTGCTCCACCACCGAGGATCGCTTTCATCAAGTTCAAAGGTCAGACTTCTGTTACACACCACATGAGGCTAATGCACTGATGTGTGTATAATGTCCATGAGTTTGTTCCTAAAGTGATAGTTTGATCTCTGCAGAGAGCTGGGACTCCATGATGCTCTTGGACACTGCAAACTTCTGTTGGAGAAACTCCGAGCCCCGGATCGTGACCCTCACTTTCAGGCCATGGCCGGGACCGTGTTGTTCACGCTACACTTCGCCAGAGTTCTGCAGAACCACCGCAGGTTTGTGCAACACACGGCTGTGCTATAAGGTCCGGACAAAGGTCGACTTTCCTGACTTTTTCACTTTCTTTTTTTATATCTAAAAATCTCTTAAGGCAAGGCAAGTTTATTTATATAGCACAATTCATACACAAGGCAACTCAAAGTGCTGAACAAAACAAGAAAGCATTAAAATCATAAATAATCACAGAACATTAAAAAGAAAGATAAAAATATAAAATCCCTCAGTTGTAGCACAGCTAAACAGAACTGTCTTTAACCTGGTTTTAAACATTGTCAGAGAGGAGGCCTGTCTCACATCTTCAGGAAGACTGTTCCAGATTTTAGCAGCATGAATCTGAAAAGCAGCCTCCCCATGTTTAGTTCTGACTCTGGGCACTAACAGGAGTCCGGTCCCTGTGCTCCTCAGAGTCCCAGCAGGAGTCCAGTCCCTGTGCTCCTCAGAGTCCCAGCAGGAGTCCAGTCCCTGTGCTCCTCAGAGTCCCAGCAGGAGTCCAGTCCCTGTGCTCCTCAGAGTCCCAGCAGGAGTCCAGTCCCTGTGCTCCTCAGAGTCCCAGCAGGAGTCCAGTCCCTGTGCTCCTCAGAGTCCCAGCAGGAGTCCAGTCCCTGTGCTCCTCAGAGTCCCAGCAGGAGGCCAGTCCCTGTGCTCCTCAGAGTCCCAGCAGGAGTCCAGTCCCTGTGCTCCTCAGAGTCCCAGCAGGAGTCCAGTCCCTGTGCTCCTCAGAGTCCCAGCAGGAGTCCAGTCCCTGTGCTCCTCAGAGTCCCAGCAGGAGTCCAGTCCCTGTGCTCCTCAGAGTCCCAGCAGGAGTCCAGTCCCTGTGCTCCTCAGAGTCCCAGCAGGAGTCCAGTCCCTGTGCTCCTCAGAGTCCCAGCAGGAGTCCAGTCCCTGTGCTCCTCAGAGTCCCAGCAGGAGTCCAGTCCCTGTGCTCCTCAGAGTCCCAGCAGGAGTCCAGTCCCTGTGCTCCTCAGAGTCCGGGCTGGTTCATATGGGACTAACATGTCACTAATATATTTTGGTGCGAGGCCATGGAGAGACTTGTAACAAGCAGAGCCGTTTTAAAGTCTATTCTGAGCCACAGGAAGCCAGTGCAGAGACCTGAGGACTGGACTAATGTGGTCGTACTTCCTGGTTCTAGTCAGGACTAATGTGGTCGTACTTCCTGGTTCTAGTCAGGACTAATGTGGTCGTACTTCCTGGTTCTAGTCAGGACTAATGTGGTCGTACTTCCTGGTTCTAGTCAGGACTAATGTGGTCGTACTTCCTGGTTCTAGTCAGGACTAATGTGGTCGTACTTCCTGGTTCTAGTCAGGACTAATATGGTCGTACTTCCTGGTTCTAGTCAGGACTAATGTGGTCGTACTTCCTGGTTCTAGTCAGGACTAATGTGGTCGTACTTCCTGGTTCTAGTCAGGACTAATATGGTCGTACTTCCTGGTTCTAGTCAGGACTAATATGGTCGTACTTCCTGGTTCTAGTCAGGACTAATGTGGTCGTACTTCCTGGTTCTAGTCAGGACTAATGTGGTCGTACTTCCTGGTTCTAGTCAGGACTAATATGGTCATACTTCCTGGTTCTAGTCAGGACTCGAGCTGCTGCATTTTGAATGTACTGCAGCTGTTTTACAGCCTGTTTGGACAGACCTGTGAGCAGGCCATTGCAGTAGTCTAACCTACTGGAGACAAATGCATGGATAAGAATCTCCAAGTCTGCTTTAGACACTATGTTTTTGATCCTGGCAATGTTTTTTAGATGGTAAAAAGCTGCTGATGTTACTGATTTGATGTGGCTATTAAAATTTAAGTCTGAGTCCAGTATTACCCCTAGGTTTCTGACGTTGTTTGAAGGTTTTAGGGAGAGAGACTGTAGGTGACAGATGACGCTCTCTCTTTGTTTCTGGGGACCAAAGACAATCATTTCAGTTTTGTCTGCGTTTAGCATTTAGGTTAACTTTGTGAACCACTGACCTACAAAACCACGACATTAGTGCCTTTTATTGTTGCTGATGGATCTGTCGTTATAGATACAGCAGGAAGATCTACTATGACAATAAAATGTATTCTGATTCTGAGATGAAACAAATGTAATGTTTCTATGGCCAAAACAGCTTCATTAACATGGATTATTACTGAGAACCTTCCTCTCTGTATCTTTGTCTGTGTCTTTAGGATCGATGCAGCGCTGCAGAAAGTGGAAATATTGTGGGAGCAGCTTTATTCCAGGTCTCGGCTGCAGTTGGAGGTTCTGCAGATGAGAGAAGCCGCTCTGCAGGTAAACTCTGTGATACTGATGTGAACTAAAGGGTTCCGTGTCAGACATGAAGGTTCTTGTGCAGATCACGGAGCAGATCGAAGGCCTGCTCCAGGACACGCTGCAGCCGTACAACATGCAGCTGGCGGCGGATGCAGCGGAGGCCGAGCGGCTCTCCTCAGACTTCCACTCCTCGGTCTACGCTCCGGCCATGGTACAGTTTACAGCTCTGGTCATAAAGGTTCTTTTTGTCTTGGGTTAAAAAATGTTTTTGGTTCTTTTGAAATGTTTGTAATTATTCTAAATTACATTTTCCTTCTTAATAACTTTCTCCTTTCTTTATCTTGACCCTTTCTATGTCATTTATTCTCTTATGAAATTATCTTTTACTTTTCTGCTTAATTTTCCTCAGTTTTCACCAGTGAATATCAAGTGCTAGTTACCATAGCAACCCACGTTTTACTGACAGAAATTAGCCTCTTGTTGACATATTTCAGGTACAGTTATAATGGGTTTTAGCACTGGTCAAAAGTGAGCAAAGGTAAACACTTACAACTTTACTTTTTTAAGGTGAAAAACAAACTGCTCAGAATTCCAGTGGTTTGAATTGGAGCAGTCAAAATGACGGCTCTGGAACTTCTAGTACTTTCTAAATTCTGGGTGTCTGAGCGTTAAGACTGCAGTTATTCTCATCAAAGTGTGAAATAATGAAACAAACGAGGACAATAAAGTCTATTTGTCTGATGCTATTTCTTCACATTATTTTGAGGTGATCTTGGGTCATCTCCAAAGGCTAACGTGTTTTTAACCACTGCACCTGGTTAAAAACACATTCACAGAAGCAGCAGTGACTTTAGGCCTGGGACACTGTGTTTTCAGTCGTTGGTGGTCGCGGCTGATGAAGTGATCCACACGTTAACAGAGCTGCTCAGTGACGCGTCGAGCCGAGAGCGATGGATCCTGGATCTGCAGAGACTGAAGGACAAGCTCCAGGCCACAGTGCACCTGACTCTGCAGACGCTGCAGGCTGTGGCCAAATACCACCGATTCTACAACAAGGTTCGTCTCCCAGACTTTATGGATCCCTGTAGGAAAAGGAAAAGTGTCTGGAGCTGAAGCACATGTATCCAAACTAACAATCAATCCAAAAGTTTCTAACAAAAGTAGTACAGCAGCGGTGGTGGTTCTTCTGGTTGTCTGCAGAGTCTGTTGGTTTGGACCATCGTCTCTGCTCTGGACCAGTGTAAAACCATGAACACGTTTCTACAGAAAGAGAAAAGTAATGATTGTAAAAGGCCAGAACAGTTTCAGAGCTGCTCAGGACTCAGTCTTCAGATCATTCAAAGTAAAAGTCAGATTACAGAATCATTGCTTTGTCTCCTCAGGCTCACAGCTGGTACAGGTCGGTTCTATCGGAGAACTTCCTGCAGGACTTTCTCTCTGAAGAGGAACCACAGAAGAAGCCGTGGGGAGCCGTCCCCGAGTGGAGGAGGAGGCTCCGTGTGCTCCTTCAGAACAGGCCCCCCCCACACATGGAGGAGCTGGTCCATCTGGGACATCTGGCCTCGGTCATCCCCGACAAACGCCTGCAGCACGAGGGCAGGCAGCTGTCGCATCGGTAACTACAACTACAACTACGTTTGCTGTGACATATTTAGTTATGAATCAACTCCTTGTCTTTATGATTGCATGATGTACTATTGTCGTCCTTATTGACATTAATGTCAAATATATTGTACTGATAATGTCCCACTAACCCTCTGTTGAAGTTGACTGTATTCTATAATCCAGGATATGCAGATGCAGTCGTTTCCTGGTTCTGTAATATTGTTGTTGTGATATGAAAATTCCTTTTGAGCAGAATTAATGCCGTTTGAATAAATACAACGTTTTCCTTTTGCAGGTGTCTGACTTTGAGACGGATCATGTTGTCGTCCAAAGCCGTGCCGTTAGCTCAGCTTCAGGCGGCCCTTCAGTGGCAGTTTGAGCTCCTGCAGAATTCTCAGGGCAAACCAACTGAACACTCTGCGTCAGACCGGTCCAGTCAGGAGCCGAACCCCAGGATGGAGGACCGTAAGCTGGACCTCCTCAGACCAGGTCCCGCGGTGGAAGGAAAGCCATCGTCTCTCAGTTCCTTTGACTCTGGGTTTGAAGGAGCAGGAAGCAGCGTGTTGGAAGCACAGGTCGTGACTCCGGACGCTCAGCCTCGGAACCATCGGAGCCGTGGAGAGACCGAGACAAACCTTTCTGATTCTGGTGGGTTTGGATCACTTGGAGACTCCTCTCGGCCCAGTGCTGCTCCCAGAGAGGCCCTTCAGTCCCTTGACCTGGAGCGGAGAGATTCTTGCAACATCTCCATCCGACAAATGCATGAAGAGCTGTGTCCTGCTGCTTCATGGACTCTGAATCTGGGCAGCCTGGAGGACTCGGACCTCAGCTCTGTCACGCATGTCCTGTCCAGCACCGTCACAGAGGCCGCGAACCAGGCCACGGACCAGACTACAGACCAGACTACAGACCAGACCACAGCTGGACCCTCCATGCTCTGGGACTCCTACGACCTCCATGAACAATACCTGGATGCAACAGAATGGTAATGGATCCTTTTAAAATGAACAATAGACACCTGTTTGTTTGTACATTAACCACGAGGAGGCTACAACTGGATCAGGCCACAGAGCAAAGTGTGTGACGCACACACACCGCACACACACATCCATTTCAATGTCTACAATGTTCTCTGTACCTTGATGCAGTCTTATTGCATTAGTTTGTATGGAATGAATGAATGGGAACAGATCTAAAGTTCTGTTGGTGCTATTCAATAACTGCATGTTTCCTTCAGTGCTGCTTCTCTGAAGGACTGGGACGTCCAGGAGGAGGAGCACCTGTGTGAGGTGGAGCGGAGCCTGGAGCGTACGGAGCAGATCCTGGCAGTGAGTGAGCGCTGGACCGTCTGCTGCGGCGCCGTGAAGTCTAACATGGCTTTGTTTCTTTCTTTTTAAGGAGGAGGAGCGAGTTTTGGCTCAAAAGGCTCAGCTGGAGGTTCTGCTCGACGATGCCGGGTCGCCTCCTCTGCTTTCTTTGGACAAACGGGTAGAAACTTGATCATAACGCACACCAACAAAAATTGCTGTGGCAGATTTTAGTTTAGAGTAATCACAGCATTTCTCTGGGTTCTGGTCACTGCCTGATGTCGGGTTCCCAAATTCCAGATTAAGGGCCGACAAAATAAGCATGAACCAGACTCCTTTGAATTTTTGTTTGAATAAATTACAAGATTTTTTTTTTTTATCTAAAAAATCCCCCCACACTTTCAACCATTGTCAAACTGTTTTTTTTTTTTTTCTCCAGGTACAAGACAAAATACTTTGAGCGTTACTAAATTAGACTTCATTGAGACTTATTTTTATTTATTTTTAGAATTGGAAATGTTTTTTGGGTCTGAGGTTTTTTGCTGGTTCACGCCTGAATTAAAGCTTCTGTCATTACAGATGTGCACAGATGAATCTCATGATGTGGATCTTCACCAGTTTGATCCTGAATCACAAACTGACACAGACTTTGGGGGAGGTTTTGAGCCTGGAGACTGGAACTCTAAACTGGACCCCGTCTCCGAACTCGAAGAGGTCCGTGCTCTGGACCAGAAGATCTTGGAGGAGGAATTAAAAATCGCTTTGCTCCGGCGAGAAAAACGTTTAGACGAAGCTCAGCAGAGGACGTCAGAAACACTGGAAGAACAGGACGCCCAGACACCGCTGTTATTGGACAAAATGGAGCAGGGAAATCTCGAGGGTCAAACTGTGAGACCGAGACGACGCGTGAAGGAGCGAGACCGAGCGTCCCGAGTCATCAGATGCTCTATAATGTCCAGAGCAGAGAGTGAAGACGATCGAGCCGTCTGTCAGAGGCTTTCTGATCTCTGCGGCGAAGGGAGGTCACCAGAGAATGTCAGACATTTCTCTTCTGAGCCACCGGAGAATGAAGATTTATCTGTGGTTTTGGAATTACACAAAACCTCCCATCCTCCCACTGACTCCCCCGTCTCTCTCAACACAACAGCCCCACCCAGAAATCTAGAGCAAGCGTCTTCTGTTGAAAGCGTCTCTTCTGACAGCTCAGTGGAAGAGGCCTTGCCACGCCTCCAGCCCGTTCCCAAGCCCAGGCAGAATCCTCCAATGACTCAGTCTAAATCTCTCAACACTGAGGTTGGTGTGACCTTGTGTGCCTCTATCACTCCTGGAGGGAGTGGATCTCTGGATGTTCTGGAGCTTGCACCGCTGACCTCCAGAGACTTGGGTTGTGATGTACCCACTGAGGACACCACAGACCAGGGGGGTGGGGGTATAGATGACCAGGATGGAGGAGGTGCAGCCTTGGACCAGGGTGGTGGAGGTGGGGCCTTAGACCAGGGTGGTGGAGGAGGTGGGGCCTTGGACCAGGGTGGAGGAGGAGGTGGGGCCTTAGACCAGGGTGGTGGAGGAGTTGGGGCCTTGGACCAGGGTGGAGGAGGTTGGGCCTTGGACCAGGGTGGAGGAGGAGTTGGGGCCTTGGACCAGGGTGGTGGAGGAGGTGGGGCCTTGGACCAGGGTGGTGGAGGAGGTGGGGCTTTGGACCAGGGTGGAGGAGGAGGTGGGGCCTTGGACCAGGGTGGAGGAGGAGTTGGGGCCTTGGACCAGGGTGGTGGAGGAGGTGGGGCCTTGGACCAGGGTGGTGGAGGAGGTGGAGCTTTGGACCAGGGTGGAGGAGGAGGTGGGGCCTTGGACCAGGGTGGTGGAGGAGGAGTTGGGGCCTTGGACCAGGGTGGTGGAGGAGGAGTTGGGGCCTTGGACCAGGGTGGTGGAGGAGGAGTTGGGGCCTTGGACCAGGGTGGTGGAGGAGGAGGTGGGGCCTTGGACCAGGGTGGAGGAGGAGGTGGGGCCTTGGACCAGGGTGGAGCTCCAGTTGTTTGTCCAAATCTGGAGCTGCTCAGTAATAATAATAATAACTGTGTGCGTTCTGAGGGCGGAGCACAGACGGCTCTGGACCAGGATCCTGATCAGGTGCGACGACATTTTATCGTTTAGACCGGGACTCGTTTAGACCGGGACTCGTTTAGACCGGGACTCGTTTAGACCGGGACTCGTTTAGACCGGGACTCATTATAAGTCCTTTGCTTTAACATGGTTCAAACCCACTGAGTAGTTATTTAGTTGGGTCTGTGACAAACCCAGGATGGACGGTCTTCACTCCCGTCGGCCTGTTCTTCATGTGGTCTTTATAGTTTTTAATTCCATGTGTGTAAAGTCCTGAATCACAGCCGTCATCTCAGGGACGTGGCAAAGTTGATGATTGACCAACAACAGATTGGAGAATCAAACCGTTCAAACACAGGAAATGGCCTGAGGCACTGTTCCTAAATGTGAGTCCGGACCAGGGGGAGACGGTCCATAGGTGCAGACAAGAGGCCGGGTTCAGGGACACAATGGGACAGCGGGTGAATAGCAATGAACAGACTACATAAGGATGATAAAGTAGCTTAAGAGAGAATAGTGCTAAAGTTACCATACTCTATTTGCAGCTTGACTGACGACCTGTGTTTTGACTTGTAGTAAAAGGTTTAGATTTTTACTTTAGTTTTATTTGCTGCATTCGAGATAACTGAGGTTTTGACTTTGAGCTGCACAAACATCTTTTGTTTTGATGACTTGGGCACATTAGTTGCAGTCGTTTCCGCTGCGGTCCGGTCTTTCCTACGACCTGTTATCGATGTCTTACTCAAAACTTGCCTTGTTGTTTTTGGAATTGATCTCCTGATGTGTCCCTGAACCACAGATTGAAGACCTCCGCTCCTGTGAGGACCATGTGAGGCCCGTCCCAGTGTGCGCTCCGCTGTGTGACCTCCAACATGTGACGTCTGCCTCCGGGACACGGCACCAGGGCAGACACACTCAGGTTAGTGAGGATTTGGAAATGAGAGTGAATGAATGTGCAGGACTTGGACTACAGACTTTTAAAAGCACCAGTAGAGATGGGACACTTGTATTGACTACAGCTTGTATGTTTGTGGAACACTGCAAAAAGTGGTGAGAAATAAGTCAAAACTTAAATTGCTCAAATTTGGCAAAATGTGTTAAGATTTGTTTCTTGAGGCAAAACAAACAGACGTGATAATTTTAGTGTTAAGTGACCTGCTTTACAAATACAGGGTTGTCTTGAGGCGTTCTACCAAATATAGTTACATTTGCATACATTGGAGGTTTTATACTTGCTGCTTTATTATTAAAGTAAGAATTGTTTATTATTTTACTAAAGAGTTATGGTTCTTTTATTCTGTCTGCTCCTCGTTCCTACTGTTCTGTAACTGCTGAGGCAACACTGACATTTCCCCACTCTATAAATAATCTCTTCATCTTAATCTAGTTGCAGCCTTCAGACTTGGGCCGCACCATCGTCCTGGACACTGGCTCTGGTTTGATGAAAGCTGGTTTTGCTGATGAAGATCTTCCTAGTGTCATCTTTCCAACGATAATAGGAGAGCCAAAGTACGAGGTACAGGCTGCACATGGACATAGGTTCAGGTTTCTGTTTCTTTAGTTGTTGTAACGTAGCGTGGTTCTGTGGCAGGAGGTGATGAATGGCAGCTCGGAGAGGGAGCTGTATGTGGGGTACGAGGCCCAGCACATGAGGGGGGTCCTGGCTTTGAGGCGTCCCATCAAACACGGAGTCATCCACAACTGGGACGACATGGAGAAGGTTTGTGGGTTATTGTCACTCTTTTAGCAAAGGTTCCGGTCTTTTTAAACCACAACATGTCCAACTAAAACATTCTAGTTCCTTTCTTTCAAAACAGTTTGGTTCCTTCTAGTTTCACAGGTTTTGTTTTTTTGGATCAGCTTTGGAAGGTGTTATTCTTTCACTCCTTATACGTTGGTATTAAACTCCTACTGTAGCCACGATGTGCTAATAATAAAGGCAAAGGTTTAATTTATTCACAAAATGTGCTTTTTAAGCCTTTATATCGAGTCAGGTGTGTATCGTGAGACTTCCAGGGTTGGGACTTGGGTAAACCTAAATGAAAAGTGACTAATAACTGAATGTGGTTCAGATTTGGCAGCACACCTTCGACCTGTTGCGTGTGGACCCAGAGGAGCACCCTGTCCTGCTCACGGAGGCTCCCATGAACCCTGTGGAGAACCGGCAGCGTGCGGTGGAGATCATGTTTGAGCTCTTCAGAGTTCCCTTCTGTTACGTCTCCATGCAGGCCGTGCTGGCCCTGTACGCTGCCGGCAGGACCACGGGTGAGTGTGGCAGAGGTCAAAGGTCAGACTGTGTCCAGACTCTTCATGGTGCGGTCTGGTTTGCAGGTGTGGTGCTGGACTCTGGGGACGGAGTGACCCACAGCGTCCCGGTCTATGAGGGTTACGTCCTGTCCCATGCTGTGCAGCGCCTCCCTCTGGCTGGAGCTGACGTCAGCGCTCACCTCACAAAGGTACAGATGTATTCACAAAATACATTGACTTCAGTGGTTTAACCGTGGCACTGACATGTCCCAGATGTTCTCTGAGCCACAGGAGTCAGTGCAGAGACCAGGGGCCGTATTCCTAAAGATTCTGAGAGTCCTCTCAGAGAGCTCTTATCTTAACCTAAAAACTCCTAGCTAGGAGTCTTAGCTTAAAAGTTATTCCAGAACACTCTTAGAGAACTCTGAGCAAGGAATTGACAACAACTTTTATCTTAGTGAGGAGGCGTGGCCGACCCCGTTGCTAGGTATGAGTCATCATTTCAGACGCTGTGATTGGTTGATCCTAAAAGTTAGAACAAACATATTTTTGATGATAATAGGCAAAATAAGGGCCCTAAAATGGACAAACTCAATCATGGAATCTAATCTTAGGAACACTGTGTTATTGTAAATAATAACCAAAAGCTATAAAGTCAGATATATCAATGGTACATAAATACTGTGAATAGTAAAGTTAGACTTATACACCATCATCAGAGCTTGCTCAGCACCAATTTATCACACATAATACGTATATATCATGAGCACTTATAATTTTATATATATATAAATTTAAATATTACTCTATATATAATATACATGATAAAGAAAATTATTATTATAAATATTATATGGATAAATGATGATAATGATAACGTTAGGATTAGTAAAGGCTGTGATATGTATAGACTTATAAGGAATTAAGGAAACAATATTAATATAAACATATTATACATACACTGTACAAATCAAGTACAAGGGAGCTTAAAAGTCTTATCCTCTCCCACTCCTTTTTGAGCTGGATTGTTGTTAATAAAACAAAACTGTATATTTGTACTTCTATTCTGTTGTTGTTTTGTTTGTTTTGTCCTTTTTTTTCTTGTTTGCCATGGCTCAAAATAAAGTATTCATTCATTCGTACTGAATGTGTGACAATTTAGGACCACTTTTTCCTCTCTTTCAACTTTTACCATTTCTACTTACTTTTGTGTAACAAAGGTAAAATGGATGAGGTGTTATTGCTGACCAGCCAATGAGAAGCTGGTCACATGATTGACTTTTAAATATACCACAAACATGATTCCTGCTTGAATCTGTAGCGTTTCACTGATTCACTGTCATCCAGTGTATAGAATATTTCTCCTGTCTCCACCGTCCACCATTTTGTCCTCTTAGGGAACTTTTAAGTCGCTAAAAGTCCTCCTCTCAACTCTTAAGGGATCTCCCCTTAAGAGCACTCTTAAGAGCTAGGATTTTTTAGGAATAGCTTTTATCTTAACTAGGAGCTACTCCTCACTTTTAGGGGAAATTCTAAGAGTTGGTCAAGATTCTAAGAAAATTCTTAGAATTTGGCCACTAGGAGCAACTTTTAGCAGTAAGAATCTTTAGGAATACGGCCCCTGGACTAATGTGATAGTACTTCCTGGTTCTAGTCCGGATCATCAACAAATCTAACACTGTCTTGGCATTTGTCACGTTGTGTGTCATGAGTCTATATGATGTTTTGGGTTCACATTTTAGGTCAAATGACTGAACTTTAGAGAACTTTGTGTGTGTGTGCCGCAGCTGCTGCAGGAGCAGGGCGTCTGCCTCAGGACCTCAGCGGAGCAGGAGATCGTTCGGGAGATGAAGGAGAAGTGCTGCTATGTGGCTCTGAGGTACGAGGACGAGCTGCGGGACGGCTGCGGCGCAGCGAGCTACACGCTGCCGGACGGGAAGACGGTGACGCTGACGTCAGAGAGGATCAGGTGACACGGACTCTCTGGGAATTTAGACTTTTTTTCATCAGTGTTTTGAATCTATAAACTTCTGTCCTGGACCTGAGGATTTTCAGTGAGGGCCACTCGAGTTGGAGGAATTTGGTTCTGGTTCAATATTTTGCCAAATGTAAAACTTGTATTCTTTTTTTGATTATTATTTTCAAGATGGAAAATTTATACTTGTTGGTTGATGCTAGTGAGATATTTTGTTTTAGTTAGTACAGCTATTGTTCACTTTCCTTGTGTTGTGTGCTCCTCTTTCCTTCTGTTCTAAAACTTGTGATGCAACACTGAAATTTCCCCACTGTGGGACCAATAAAGAATCTCTTTATTAATCTGCTTTAACACAAATGCTCGTAGCTCGATGGTTGCGTGTGTGTGCTTCTGCATCACAGCCAGAAGGTCCTGGGTTTGATTGCACCTCCAGGACCTTTCTGTGTGCAGTTTGCATGTTCTCCCCATGTCTGCGTAGGTTTCCTCTGGGTGCTCCGTGTTCCCCAATAATAATAATAATAATAATAATATTATCTTTATTATTATCTTTATTATTATTTTTATTATTATCTTTATTATTATTATCTTTATTATTCTTATCTTTATTATCTTTATTTATATAGCACTTTTAAAAACAGTGTTTACAAAGCGCTGCACAGTCAGCATGATAAACAGTCATAATGCAAGGTCAAAATAATTAGATACAGAAACACAAAGCAAACAGAGCAAAACACAAGAGACTCAACAAAGACAAAGCAGACAATAAAATACAGCATCGGAAGTTTAAAACTAACAGTTAAAAGCTGTTTGATAAAAGTGGGTTTTAAGAAGAGATTTAAAAGAGGATACTGATGGTGCTAGCCTTATCAGTTAGGCTAGCACCATCAGTGCTTTTGAGACTCTGAAAAACGCTGAATAAATATGACTGACATATTTATCGGTACGTACTTGCATGGGACGGTTACAAAAGGTATTGGTCGAGGTCCAAATGAGATTATATATAAAGTATATTAATGTGAAATGTATGAAGATCATTTATTTCATGACATAATTTGAATTCTACTCAGTTTATTCTTGTATCGCCCTAAATCACAGCTGTGGTTTCTCAGAGGACCGTAGGGAGAGACCAATGTCCTGAAATGCTCTGTTGCTAAATAGTTTTGTGCAGATTGTAGATTTGAACTTGTCCATATTTTCCGCAGAGCCCCAGAGATCCTCTTCAAACCGGAGCTGATTGGCCGCGATCACTATGGCCTCCACGAGAGTCTGTACAAATCCATCCTGAGCTCAGACCTGGACCTGCGGCGGGACTTCCTGGGGAATGTCCTTCTGTCTGGTATGTGTCCTCGGGATCACAACATTTACAGAAGCAGCTGGACTGTTGGGAACACCAGAATATAAACTGCAGGTTTTCATGCTGTGATTAACTGGACACATGTTTTAATGCTCTGTGATGATCAAAGTACTCGAGTAAATCCAGTCGATATTTACAAGATTCTGACTAAAACTCGATGGAGTTAAAATAAGTCCATAAACAAGTTGTTTGTATTTCACTACATTTTCTCGTGTTTTCTCTCTGCTGCTCTCCAGGGGGCGCTCTTAACAAATTTAAGATTCGTTACAAACATTGCCAATGTTTTTGAGCGTCTTGAAAAGCACTGTATAAAATCTCTGCATAATAATAATAATAACAATAATGTCGTCTGCAGAGTTTGGCTTAAACTCCGGTAAGTTCTAGTTTAAACTCGTCCTCGTGCTGTTCGAAGCCAACGTAATTCCCATAGATACTGTTTAGTTGTGAGTAGGTTGAAAGGATTTGTGACGCTAAAGTGTATTGAAGCTAAGCAGGGCAAGGCCTGGTTAGTACTGTGATGGGAGACCTCTGGCAACACCCGCTGCCACAGTGGGGCGGCTGTAAAGTGTGAAATTGGCGAGACACTTCCCCCACATTAGAATGAGGTGTGTGGTGGGAGGGGCCGATGGCACAGACTGGTTGCATCACTTCTGTCACGTGTGCCCCAGGGCAGCTGTGGCTACAATAGTGTATAAAGTGAAAGAATATAATTTAATTTTGTGTAATGGAAACTAAAGTAGTGGGCGACAGTAGCTCAGTTGGTAGAGCATTGGCCTTTGGGCATGAAGGTCGTGGGTTCGAGCCCACCGTAAGACCTACTTCACGACTCCCACTGATGACTGCTGTCGTTGTGTCCTTGGGCAAGACACTTAACCCTACTTTGCCCAAAGCTCCCACTGAAAGATCTCAGCTCCTGTGGACTCACCACCTGCGGGAGGATCAGTGAGGGGCTGGTGCTCTGTGGACTGGGAGCAGCTTTGACTGCTACCCCTCCGACCCAGAAATGGATTAAGGGGAAGAAAATGGATGGATGGAAACTAAAGTAGACTAGGGCTGGTGGAAACGGGGCTGACCTTCTGCTCCTCCTGCTGCAGGGGGGACCACTCTTCTCCCTGGGCTCCCGGAGCGCCTGGAGGCCGAGCTGAGCCGCCTCGTGCCCGGTGACCCTGGCTCCGCTGTGAGGGTGGTCAGTCCCTCAGACCGGGACTTCTCGGTGTGGTGCGGGGGAGCGGTGCTGGCCAACCTCTCCTCCTTCTGCTCCCTGTGGATCAGCCAGAGCGAGTACGAGGAGCACGGGCCTCACATCGTCCTCCGCAAGTGCTTCTGAACCAAATATACATGTTAATATTTAACTGTACGTCCTAAATATGAATTCTATTTTTATCTGTTGGTGTTGTTCATAGATGGCCTTTTTATGTGAATTGTGGCCAGACTTTTTTTATATATTTTTTTTAACGTAAACAAATTTGAGTTAAAAAAAGCATAAATAAGTGCTCTGTGGATCTGGAGAGGGCTGTGACTGATGCAGAGGTTTGGCACAAGATTCTGTTTAACACTTAAACTAAAAGTCCTAGAGCTGTCATTTTGAAACCTTCAAACCAATAGAATTCTGAGAGATTCCCCCAAAAAGCTTTTTTTTCCACTACTTTTATTAAGCACAAAATTTGGTGAATGTAAAAGTAAGAACAGTGTCGAGAGGCGACCGAATGCAAACTGCTGCAAGTAAAGTGTGTTTTTGTCTCTCGTGGAAAATGAAAGGGATTTGGCTCAGAACCAGCCCAGAATCGGCGTCTTGATGAAGGGGCTTGAATCCCACAGAACGTTGGTCACAAATCGATCAAAAATGAACTGCTCTGAGAGTTCGAGTGTTAAAATCTGACTTTACAGAGGCCTGGGGTCAAAGGTTACAGGAGAAGTGACTAGTGGATAAAATGGCATTGGAGGTGTTACAGGAGTGCTGCCGTAGTCTGCCTCGTTCTGTGTGTGTGTCTGTGTGTGTGTGTGTGTGTCTATATGTGTGTGTGGTAGTCGTAGTAGTTTGTGTTCAAAAACGTTTTAAGTTTTAAGAATGAGGGTTGATGATGAAAAGCAGTACTGTTGTTGTGTTGGTGCCAAAGTCCCACTTGCTGTTCCCTGTGTGTGTAAATATGTTTATATTGTGTGTGGAATGTGAATATTGCTGCATGGTTTGGTGTGTTTTTATAATGTGTAAAAATGTATATTAAAGAAACGCAGGGTTAAGCAAAATGAGTGACCTATGACCTATGACCCTGGGGATCCTGTGTTTCAGCCTCTACCCGAGTCTTTCCCACTTTCTGCTTAATAAATATACTTTAGTAACATTGTTTCATTGTTGTTCATTCTCCTCAAAACCTGCTTCTGGTTGGGTTTGTGTGGTTAAGCTTTTGTTATTCTAAAGAACCAGACTTTTAACATTCCTTTGTGACAGAGAAGCTAAACTTGCTGTTTACGGAAAAGTCGATCTGATCTATTTGTTCAGCACTTTGGCCGTTTTTGAAAGTGCTCTAAGACGGTAAAAAACCGCACAATTAAACCTCAAAAGTCAGAAATATGTATTTATCCATAAAACCGAAAGCTTGTCTCTTTCTTCCTGGTATTTGTCTCATCCTGGTGTTTTGTAGACGGTGAAAAGGTCATTTCTAAAGTCTTACTTTGGGGCAGACTCGTGAACCATTACTTTTGGAGCAGAGAGATCAGACATTTATTTTTATATAACCCTAAATCACAACAGTCTGAGGACTTTATAAAGTTGTCGGTTCACAAACGGCTCAAAATCAACTGGTTCATACACAGGAAATGCAAAAACCGTAGTCTGCCATCCGTCACCTTTGTAATACCTCCACTCTAAGACAAAGTGAGAATCTTATTTGCTTATCACGGTGGACAATATTTAGAAAAAAGTCCAGCTCAACACTTGTTATAAACCCTTTACCAATACAAGGTTTTCACACACCATTGCTGGTATTTTGGCCCATTCCTCCTGCAGATCTCTCAGAGCTGTGATGTTTTGGGACTGTGGCAACTCTTCAAACATGTTCTATGGAGCTGAGATCTGGAGACTGAGGCTGCTCCGGGACCTTGACATGCTTGTTGCCCGGGCGACGTGTGTTCTTGATCATCGTTACGCAGAAATACCCGGCCACATTTCATCTTCAATGCCTTTTCTGATGGAAGGAGGTTTTCAGACATACTTTCAGGTATTTTGGCCCATTCCTCCATTAAGATCTCTTCTAGAGCAGTGATGCTGATGGTTTTCACTCCACAATACAAGGCTCATTCTTCTTTACACAAATCAATCGCCCTGGTCCCTTTGCAGAAAAACTGCCCCAAAGAATGATGTTTCCACCCCCATGCCTCACAGAAGGTATGGTATTCTATAGAAATAAACTTGCCTTGCCTTATATAAACAGCTTGTATGTGGACAAAATATACTTTTCAGATTCAGCTGGTGTGGTTTATACACAGGTGCTCCTTAGGATCAGTGTTGAAAAAAAACACTTGTGAGAAAATTTAATGAATGAATAAGGACTAAGGCTTTGTTTTGACCCGGTAATGCCTCCTTCAGTGTGTAGTAGATTACGGGGGACCAGGTGTTTAAATGTGGTCCTGTCACATGATCATAAAAAGTACTGTACATATTGGTTGCTGAAGTGTTTTATTGTGGAGGTCATTGGTCTTCGTCTCTGGTCAGCTCCACCCTCACCACAGACCCATCTCTCTGACCTCTCAGTCCAGACAGGAACACCTGGGTCCTGGGAACACTGCTCTCCCCGTCCACACTGGTCTGTCCCACGGCGTCTTTAGGGGGGAAAGTCTGAGTGCTGCTGTCCCTTCGCAGGTAGCTGGAGTTGGTTTGAGTCGAGTGTGTGAGTTTGGTTCGAAGATCAGTCTAAAGAGAGAGATGTATATTGTTAACTACATGTCATGGCAGATCAGGGATGTCAAACCGGTCCTAAAATGAGCCACTAGTTGACGTTTTGGGCTTGGAGCTGATTGGGTGAGGGTGGGCTTTTTTTTCCCCTTTTCTGTTTGAAAAAGATGTGCATGTGAAGACGCGTAGTGACACAACGGTACTGAGAGCGAGGAGTGACGTGACATGGATTTTATAAAAAAAAATTATTTTCTGGTTCTAAAGTTAAGTACCCCAGCTTTAACAGTTGGTATAAAAGCAAAGGTAGGACGGAATAACATCAGAAGCAGATTTGAGCTTTAACAAAGTTGCAGACCGTGTCAATCTCGTGCTACAGCCTATGGTCTATGTCAGGGGTGTCAAACAGGTCCTCAAAGGCCTGGTGTGGCTACAGGTTTTCATTCCAACCAAGCAGGAGCACAGCAGACTCCACCCATTTCCTCAAGTGAGTCCAGTCTGACCCTGAAGCCTTGAGGCGATCGCAAGTATGCAAAAGATAACATGTTTTGTAATAAGATGAAGAGAGGAGACTAGACGAGATTATTGTTGTTGGGTCAAAAATACATGTATCTATGAAACAAAACTGAAGATACCCTATAGTTTCAACATCAATGAAAAAAAAGGAAGATTACCAGCTTAAGCGCCTTTCTCCTCATGTCCCACTCGTTCCATTGGTAGTTTGGATCGATGAAGCTTTCCACGGGGTGAGTGTCCGTCTGAGAGCCGCTGGAGCTCCAGGTCGTGGGTCGCACCAGGAGCTGCTCTCCAGACTGCAGCTGTGCACACAACACCTGCTCAGTGCGGTCTCTTTAGTCCAACAATGGAGAGTAAACATACACACAAATACACACTATATATGTGCAGTACTTGCTAAACTTTTAAGAGCACCTGTATATAAACCACACCAGCTACGTTTTAAAAGGAAAAAGTAATCATTGAGGTCATGCTACAGATTTGTATATACTGACACTTGTTTTTGATTGTGTCACAAAATTACACATATGGCACTAATGACAAACTAAACAAACTAAACCCAAATCTAAAAAGGTTAAGTAGTCCAGCTTTAAGAGTCTAAAAATCTTCATACAAAGAGCTCATGTCCAGATAACTACCTAATACCTCTCTGTAAACGGTGTAAATGTGGTGGTGGTGGTACTGACCTGAGCGTGTGGGGAGAGGCAGGGGAACTGACCTGAGCGTGTGGGGAGAGGCAGGGGAACTGACCTGAGCGTGTGGGGAGAGGCAGGGGAACTGACCTGAGCGTGTGGGGAGAGGCAGGGGAACTGACTGAGCGTGTGGGAGAGGCAGGGAACTGACCTGAGCGTGTGGGGAGAGGCAGGGGAACTGACCTGAGTGTGTGGGGAGAGGCAGGGGAACTGACCTGAGTGTGTGGGGAGAGGCAGGGGAACTGACCTGAGCGTGTGGGGAGAGGCAGGGGAACTGTCGGTGGTGGTACTGACCCGAGCGTGTGGGGAGAGGCAGGGGAACTGTCGGTGGTGGTACTGACCTGAGCGTGTGGGGAGAGGCAGGGGAACTGTCGGTGCAGGCTCAGCAGCTGGATGAGCTCTGGGCTGTGTCTGGCTCTTTCTGCCAACTCAGAGATGTAGCGCTCTGGGTCTGAGGCGAAGAGCAGTGCGGCGTCTCTGGAGCTGAACGCAAACAGCTTCTCCTTGTGCTTCAAAAGTCCCAGTTGTGGGTTTCCTGCAAAAGACCAGGGTGATCGAGGGGGAACTCCAGCTTGCCTTAGCAACCATCATAGCAACGTCAGCCCCTGTTACAGTGCAAATGCCCATATAAGGAAATTGGCTCCAGCTAGCTTTTGTATAAATTGGCTTCTTCCATTTCTATAATCTATATGATCTATAACATCTGTGGTCATGATTCGAGGAAACATTTGGGCTTTTTCTATATCAACATTTCTTTCAAACATGGTTTCTTACCCATAGGGTTGAATTCTAGCCCTATTGCCCATTAGTGAGAGGACGAGATAGGGAGACGGGGTGAGAGGACGAGATAGGGAGACGGGGTGAGAGGACGAGACGGGGTGAGAGGACGAGATGGGGAGACGGGGTGAGAGGACGAGATGGGGAGACGGCAACAGGACGAGATAGGGAGACGGGGTGAGAGGACGAGATGGGGAGACGGCAACAGGACGAGATAGGGAGACGGGGTGAGGGTGGTTACCGGGCAGCAGTAGTCCGTCCCGACAGACCAGCGTGTGACCACAGAAGCCGCTGAGCTGGACTCCCTGGAGACTGGCTGTGACTCTGGGGTCTTCAGGCACCAACCACTCGGTGTCAGGACCCATCACCTCCGCTGCCTCTATGGGCTTCTCTGTGGGAGACCAAGGGACAATGGATCATGTTCCACTAAACGTTTTTAATATTTACTGTACAACAAAGAAGTTTCAGGGGAAGGTGTCAGTACAACCATATGGGACAGAAGCAATTTCTGAAAGATTTGTAAACATTTTGTCTTCCTAGGATCGAGATCACAAAACCACCATATTATTCTTCTGTCTGAAAGTCCTCCACTGGCCAACGTCAGGCATATATGTATTTACTGTCCAGACACAAACATGAAGACCTGTTTGTGTCTGGTCTCAGGCTTTACCGTCACCAAGTCGCCTTCTCTCTGCGTCGCTCTTTATCTGTGACCCCTGCAGGAGATCTTCCAGTTTCTCATCTGGGAAAATCACTGCCTGGGACCCCACAAAATCCCGTAGTCTCAACGCGAGGCCCCTGAAGACTTGGAGCAGCTCGGCCTCGTCCTGCAGACTCCTCCAAAGACCAGACACGGACCTGAACATGGGCTGGACATGAGTCGAGGGTCAGTGATCACCGGAGAGGAGGAGGAAGTATTGGAAGTCTGTCTGCAGAGAACTCACAAAGACTTGAGCAGCGGCGATGGCTCTCCTGGACCTCACTGTGTCCCGGAGCACACGGAGCTGTGTCCTGAGCTCGTCCTGAGAGAGCGCCACCCTCTGCACACTCGCCGCCACGTCTGCCTGGACACACGTCAATCATTCACTTTGGCAGCTTTTTTGACAGCTCCCAGGTACGTGTAATCTGACCTGCATATGTAGTACTGTGGACCTGTTATATGAACGTCTTGGTCCTGACACGTGGTTAGTCTCTACATCATCAGCATCATCACAAACAAGTGATGAGTTCTCCTGTTCTTATGCACACTGAGACACAGCACTTAAAAATCCTTGGCTCCTCTTGTTCGATCTGGAGGGACTCGATAATAAACCATGTCCAGGTGCAAAGGCTGCTGCCTTGTTTTCACTACTTTATTAAGAATTAAACAACGTATGATTTTAACCTTTGATTTGTGCTAATTCTGGTACATCCGTATAATACGTAAAAACAGTTGGGAGGCTACTAAATGCTCACTTCTGCAACTAAACAGCGTGTTGCTATGGTAACTGGCACTTTCCCTGCTCTGGTGCAAAATCAAGTCAACTCAGAACCAGAACCAGTCCAGGATTGGGTTCAATGAATGGAGCAGTCAAAACGACTGTTCTGGGGGTTAAGGGTAGAACTATGAAGATATTATTTCATAAGAATAAACCACACGTAGAAACAGAAAAGACCACAGTTCTGAAGACCAAGATTGTACATAAGCTGAGAAAAGTACTGTGGGGGTTCTGGTGTTAAACTAGTGTGATGCTTCTGTGAGAGACTGCAGTCTGTACCAGCAGCAGGTTTATGAAGGCTTGGTGCTGGCGGACGTTGTACAGGGCTTGTCTCAGGAGCTCCACAGAGACCTGACTCTGTGATGTTGGGGCCCCAGAGTCAGTGAGGGCCCCAGAGTCAGTGAGGGCCCCAGAGTCAGTGAGGGCCTCCAAAGCTGCCGTGAGCCTCCACACTCGACCCTCACAGTCCTGCAGCTCCTGGTCCAGGGTCGGCCCGCTCAGAGGAAGCACCTCCCTCAGAACCTGCGGCACTAAAGCAGATACCGTCATCGTTAAGATGTGTCCCACAGTGGAGACATTTCAGTGTTGCATCGCAGGATACAGACAGTAGAATGAGGAGCACACAGCACAAGAGAAGTGAACAAATCTCTAAACTAAAATAAAATAAAATCTCTAAGTTTAGTACAAAAATAAGCAGTATAAAAACTATCTTTAGCGTAATAAAGAAGCACGGATTAAGTACAAAATCTTCAACTTTGGCACAATAACTAAATAAGTGTAAAATAGTGAATATTCTTGTGCAATAAATATATAATTGTATGTATAGATCTGTACATGTTAGCAGCATGAGGGTCCAAAGTCACAGTGACACATGTGGTTCTATATTCTACATTCTGACATGATTAAAGTTATTCCACAGGTGAGTAAAGTAAAGTAGGAGGTGATTCTCACTCAGGTCCTGGACGTTGGGCTCGTCCTGGTCTTTGGTGCTGCTGCTGCGGTTGAAGAGGAGGACCCCCGTGACCAGCAGGCTCAGGTCCTTCAGCTGCTGCTCCTTCTCCCGTTTGAGCAGAGCCATGAAGGATCCCAGCTCTGTCTGTGGGAAGACGCTCTGCAGGGCGGCTGTGAGGAGAGCGCTGCGGTACGTTACTCCAGAATGCCACTTGTGAAGCTAAAGGTGAGTACTTGCAGGGCTATTAAGTTACTTGTTGTAAATTCTAAAATTGATTCGTGTTTATAAGCTTGAAATTTAAATCAACCAATATACAAATGATTCCTTAATAAGGTCTAAATAAAAATATAATAGTTAGTACTGCGACGTGGTTCAGAGTCCTGCAGGTGTGTGTGTGGTGTGCTGGACTGTACCTGTGGTCAGCTGCAGGGCGTCCGGGTCACTGGGGCCGCCCATGCCAGAGCGCAGCAGCATGTAGTGTGTGATTCTGGAGTAAAGACCCTCCACCTGGTCTCGTGTGGTCACTCTGGTGTCTGTGATGTCTCGGGTCAGAGAGCTCAGACTGGACTCTAACACGGAGTGGATCTCCTCCAGGAACTCCCCTGAAACATCACAACTGGTCATTAGTTAGAGTTTGTTAGAGTCAGAGGGAGTCAGAGTCAGTCAGAGTGAGTCAGAGTCATGGTCATTCAGAATGTTTTTTGCTATTTGCAGTAAAACCACATTGGAGTACATGTGCAAAACTCCCCAGTGTCACAGGAAGTCACAAACTAGGTATTTGCTTTGGTATTTGGTGCTAAAAAGTCATAAAAAAGTGAACCATAGATGTAGGGCATGGATGGGGTGAGTCCTGGGGTGAGAGACCTCTGGTCCACCAGGTGGCACTGTGGGAAACTCACAATACTTATTTTGTAATATAAGTACGTACGGCGTGTGGTGTAGTTGAGATCAAAATGGACCTGCATCTTGATGGTGTCCAGGAACGGGCTGCTGGTCTCTGAGAGCTTCTGTCGACAGATCTGAGGAGAGGCACAGACCATCAACACCCGCGGCACTCACCAGCAATACTTTCATAATCATACTTTACTATCATCATAATACTTTACTATCATAATCATACTTTACTTTCATAATCATACTTTACTTTCATAATCATACTTTACTTTCATAATCATACTTTACTTTCATAATCATACTTTACTTTCATAATCATACTTTACTTTCATAATCATACTTTACTTTCATAATCATACTGTACCTGTGTGAGCCTCTGTATGTCCTGTGAGGACCATGTGCGCTCCGTGTCGAAGCCGTTCTTTGGATCCAGGACGACAGCTTTGATCTGTGAGACAAGACTGAGGCTGGGACTGGGTCTGGACCATCAACAACTCTGCAACCAGCACTGTGTTTATGGTGTCATGGTTTCTGATTGTACAAGAGGAGAGAGGAGAGAGGAGAGGAGGAGAGAGGAGAGGAGGAGAGGAGGAGAGGAGGAGAGAGAAGAGAGGAGAGGAGAGGAGAGGAGAGGAGAGGAGAGGAGGAGAGAGAAGAGAGGAGAGAGAAGAGGAGAGGAGAGAGAGAAGAGGAGAGGAGAGAGGAGAGAGAAGAGGAGAGGAGAGAGGAGAGAGAAGAGAGAAGAGAGAGAGAGGAGAGGAGAGAGAGGAGAGGAGAGAGGAGAGGAGGAGAGGAGAGAGGAGAGGAGAGAGGAGAGGAGAGAAGAGAGGAGAGGAGAGAGGAGAGGAGAGAGGAGAGGAGGAGAGGAGGAGAGAGAGAGAGGAGAGGAGAGAGAGAGAGAGAGAGAGAGAGGAGAGAGAGAGAGAGGAGGAGAGAGAGAGAGAGAGAAGAGGAGAGGAGAGAGAGGAGAGAGAAGAGGAGAGGAGAGAGAGAAGAGAGAGAGAAGAGGAGAGGAGAGAGGAGAGGAGGAGAGGAGGAGAGAGAAGAGGAGAGGAGAGAGGAGAGAGGAGAGGAGGAGAGGAGAGGAGAGAGGAGAGGAGGAGAGGAGGAGAGGAGAGAGGAGAGGAGGAGAGGAGAGGAGGAGAGGAGGAGAGGAGGAGAGGAGGAGAGGAGGAGAGGAGAGGAGAGGAGAAAGGAAAGAGGGGAACAGTGATAGAGGAGAAGAACCAGTGAGCGGCCGTTACAGAGGTAGTCTCCAAGTCTGTTACTGATGTTCCCGTGGACGTGTAAGCTAACGGTCTACAGCGGAGTGAGAGAGCTGTCTAAGTTCACTTCTCACGGATCAAACTCACCATAAAAGCAGCGAGTGTCTCTGAAACCTCTTCCCCGCCAGAGGCACAGCTCTGTCCGAGGTCGTAGATGACATTTCTGATCAGGTTTTCTCCCTGAGTGTGAGACATTTTGGACCGTGTTTCAAACCTCACGCACAGGTTTGAGTTGATGTCTGGTCGTCATGGCAACAAGCCCCGCACCGGCAGTGACTGACAACGGCCACAAGGGGGCGGAGCGGGGGATTTTATGTTCCCAATTCAAAGTTAATATTATTAATATAGCGTTTGTGTAATTACTTAATGTATACATACTTATTTCATCATCTTATTTCGTAATTATTTTTTATGAAAGTTACCTCCCAGAGTAGAGCCAGTACAAGTTACCATAGCAACATAACGTTTGCTTGCTAACAGTTAGCATTTGTTAGCCTTTCAACAAACTGCTTGTTGCTTTATTTCAAGCGGATTTCAAGCTATATTCACCAGTGTTAGCACCTAGTAAAACAGAGTAAAGGCAACAAAAATACAAAAAACTTATACATAATATTTCTGGGGACATTTGTCAAAGTTCTCACATTTCTGGGAGTGTAAGTCATGGATCTAGTATCTATGAGTTTATTTTATTTGATTTAATTTCACCATCTTATTATCTTATCCTATTTTAATTTAATTGTCTATTATCTTAAATAATAGTCTCTATTTGATGTGTGCAACCTGAGTCTTATTTCTTATTTGTGAGGCTAGCATCTACTCTGGCAGTTTTCAAATCATGCTCTGTTTAGCCGTGCATACAGCTGAATGATTTTATAGATTATAGATACTCTTTTTATATGCATTGTGGCTATTTATGATTTTAATCCCGTGTGTTTTTAATGTTTTAAATTAATTGTGATTTTATTCTGTTTTATTTTTCTTTTTTATTTTGTATATGTAGATTTTAATGTTTCTGATTTGTTTGATATGATGTGGGTTGTGAGGCGCTTTGAGTTGCCTTGTGTTGGAAAGGCGCTATACAAATAAAAGTTCCTTCTTTCCCTGCTGTAATGTGCGCAACGATGACACTGAGGGAAGAATAAAGGAATATCTGATCTTATTAATCATTAACCATAGACTGTATGTTTACAGCCATAGGGGGCAGCAGTGAGCACTGAGGAACCTGCAGGACCCCTCTGACCTCTCACAGTGGAACAAATACTTTGTAAACATGTCTGTGGGCTCAGAAAGCCTGCTCCGGCTGAAGGAGGCCGCGGTCCGCTGCATAGACCAGGCCCAGGACAAGCTCCACGCCTTGAGCAGAGACATCTGGAGCTGCCCGGAGCTGGCCTACGGGGAGACCAGTGCCCATGCCCGGCTGGTGAGCTTCTTCACGGAGGAGTGGGGCTGGCAGGTCGAGCCGCATTACAAGCTGGACACGGCCTTCAGAGCCTCATGGGGCCCGGACTGCAGCCTGGAGGGTCCCCTGCTGAGAGTGGGCTTCCTCTGCGAGTATGACGCTCTCCCGGGGATCGGACACGCCTGCGGACACAACCTGATCGCGGAGGTCGGAGCCGCGGCTGCACTGGGGCTCAGGGCGGCGCTGCAGGACCAGGACCAGGACCCGGACAGACCCCGGGGCCAAGTCCAGGTAATAGATTGATTTGATTCATTCATGTCATTTATTTGGACCTTGAGTCTAGAATACAGATTGTTTTATTATTGACCATATCTACTTCCGTACAATGTAAATAATGATGTCATTTATTATAAAGCATGTATGTTGTTATGGATACACATGTGTCAATAGTTACATTAATATGTGTTCCATCTCCCAGAACATGCACTGAAGAATACAAACTGAAACTGTAAGAATGAGTCAAAAGTTTATGTGAATGTACAAAGGTGTAATATGACATTTGTTATAAGATAAGATAAGATATACTTTATGATGCAGCTTCCAGGGAGTTCTCTGTTACAGAGTATTTACACACTTTATAAATGAGTGTGTGTGATGTGAAGAAGATGACAAAGTCTGGGATCGCGTCTTTCATTCAGACAGAAGACATGTTTTATTGTCGATGGTAGAGACATCACGAACAACACGAACACAGAATGCAAGTGTATAAGTGTATATAAGTGTATTATATATATAAGTGTATTATACAGAGCGGAGGCATGGAGACCTCCAATCAGCAGCTGCCACAGTGCCATGTAGCTTGGCCTTCAGATAGACACAACAAGGGAAAAGTACTGGCTTCTGCACATTGATAGAATGATGAGTTTAACTTTAACAAAAGTTGCTTAAAAGTGTTATGAAATCTCACAGATGTATAAGAGTTGAAGTTTTGTAAATAAATGAAGATTATTTAGTTGTTTCCTACTGCATTTACAGTTTCACACATATATTCTAAATGTACAATCAAGCAGAGGATTAATTATCCTTCGAGATCAATTATTCAATTATATGAAGTATTTATGCGTCTGTCTAAAAAAGCAGATCCAAACCAAAGTACATGTGGCCTGCTGTGTCAGTTTATTGGTCCCTCTGCTTTGAGTTGTTCGATAAATACTGTAAGCCTCTGTGGAGTAATCCAATATGAATGTTGTGTTGCTTTTGTCCCTCAGTCGTAGGTGGCAGTTGTGCGTTGTGTGAGCAGTGTGTGGCTGTGTGTTTCAGGTTGTGGTGCTGGGGACCCCTGCGGAGGAGGACGGAGGCGGAAAGATCGATCTGCTGAAGGACGGAGCCTTCGAGGATCTGGACGTGGTGTTTATGGCTCATCCGTCCAAAGAGGACGCAGTCTACCTGCCCTGTGTGGCCGAGCACGAGTCTGTACCACACTGTGTTCTTACACACACACACAGGCACACACACACAGACACACACAAAGAGGACGCAGTCTACCTGCCCTGTGTGGCCGAGCACGAGTCTGTACCACACTGTGTTCTTACACACACACACAGGCACACACACACAGACACACAGACATATGCATACACACACACACAATTATTCACATGCTGCAGCTCCGTGTCATGTCTACACTATAATTACATTATATATAGTTATACTGTATACATATAGATATTATAATTATAATATAGAATAAAATTGTTTCTGTCCTCTAGTGTCACAGTCCGGTATCATGGCAGGGCCTCCCACGCCTCCTCCTACCCCTGGGAAGGAGTCAATGCTCTGGATGCAGCTGTTCTGTGCTACAACAACCTGTCAGTGCTGAGGCAGCAGCTGAAGCCCAGTTGGAGGCTCCACGGTGAGAGCACAGGGACTGGCCTCCTGCTGGGACTCTGAGGAGCACAGGGACTGGCCTCCTGCTGGGACTCTGAGGAGCACAGGGACTGGCCTCCTGCTGGGACTCTGAGGAGCACAGGGACTGGCCTCCTGCTGGGACTCTGAGGAGCACAGGGATTGGCCTCCTGCCGGGACTCTGAGGAGCACAGGGACTGGCCTCCTGCCGGGACTCTGAGGAGCACAGGGACTGGCCTCCTGCCGGGACTCTGAGGAGCACAGGGACTGGCCTCCTGCCGGGACTCTGAGGAGCACAGGGACTGGCCTCCTGCTGGGACTCTGAGGAGCACAGGGACTGGCCTCCTGCCGGGACTCTGAGGAGCACAGGGACTGGCCTCCTGCCGGGACTCTGAGGAGCACAGGGACTGGCCTCCTGCCGGGACTCTGAGGAGCACAGGGACTGGCCTCCTGCTGGTCCCAGAGTCGGGACTAAACATGAAGAGGCAGCATTTCAGATTAATGCAGCTTAAATCTGGAACAGTCTTCCTGAAAGTGTGAGACAGGCCTCTTCTCCTCTGACACTGTTCAAATCCAGGTTAAAACAGTTCTGTTTAATTCTGCTACAACTGAGGGATTTTATCTTTACTCCTTTTATATAATTTTCCCACTGTAAAAAAAGCAAAAACCCCAAATAACTCCAACAAAAAGAAAAAACCAAAGAAAAAAAGAATGTTACGCTTTTTGTATTTTCCTCCGTACTTTAGAGCTGGCCCAAGTTTGTCTAATGTTGAGATTGAGCCTTTTATCTTTGCTGCTTTGAACGTTCTGTGATTATGATTTAGCGCCTTGTTCTGTTCAGAGCTTCAGAGAGTATTGTGTGTATGAAGTGTGCTATACAGATAAACTGTCGTCTGCAGGAATCATCAAACACGGCGGACTCAAACCGAACATCATCCCGGCCTTCACCGAGCTGGAGTACTACCTGAGGACTCCATCCAGGGCCGAGCTGCCGCTGCTGAAGCTGAAGGCCGAGAGCTGCTTCAGGGCTGCAGCCACAGCCACAGGATGTCAGGTACCGCAGCACACGGAGGAAACCTACATGTCATTCATTTAAGAATAGGATTTCCTTATGCAGTGGTTTTCAAGCAGTGTGTCGTGGTACAGTATGTGAGCCCCGAGCTGCTGTTTGTGGTGCCTTTGAACTGCTGTACGGCTGTACGGGAATATGTTGGACTGGATTGGATTGGTTTGGACTGGTTTGGTTTAGTTTTGTTTGGATTGGTTTGGATGGGTTTGGTTTGGTTTTGGATTGGTTTGGACTGGATTGGTTTGGTTTGGTTGGGTTTGGATTGGTTTGGTTTGGTTTAGTTGGGTTTGGATTGGATTGGTTTGGTTTGGTTGGGTTTGGATTGAATTGGTTTGGATGGGTTTGGTTTGGACTGGACTGGACTGGATTGGTTTGGTTTGGTTTGGACTGGATTGGTTTGGATGGATTTGGTTTGGTTTTGGATTGGTTTGGACTGGATTGGTTTGGTTGGGTTTGGATTGAATTGGTTTGGATGGGTTTGGTGTAGACTGGATTGGTTTGGTTTGGTTTGGTTGGGTTTGGATTGGTTTAGATTGGTTGGGTTTGGATTGAATTGGTTTGGCTTTGGGTTGGTTTGGTTTGGACTGGATTGGTTTGGTTTGGTTGGGATTGGTTTGGTTGGGTTTGGATTGGATTGGTTTGGTTGGGTTTGGATTGAATTGGTTTGGATGGGTTTGGTTTGGACTGGATTGGTTTGGTTTGGTTTGGACTGGATTGGTTTGGATAGGTTTGGTTTGGACTGGATTGGTTTGGTTGGGTTTGAATTGGATTGGTTTGGTTGGGTTTGGATTGAATTGGTTTGGATGGGTTTGGTTTAGACTGGATTGGTTTGGTTTGGTTTGGTTGGGTTTGGATTGGTTGGGTTTGGATTGGTTTAGATTGGTTTGGTTGGGTTTGGATTGGATTGGATTGGTTTGGTTTGGTTGGGTTTGGATTGAATTGGTTTGGATGGGTTTGGCTTTGGATTGGTTTGGTTTGGACTGGATTGGTTTGGTTTGGTTGGGATTGGTTTGGTTGGGTTTGGATTGAATTGGTTTGGATGGGTTTGGCTTTGGATTGGTTTGGTTTGGACTGGATTGGTTTGGTTTGGTTGGGATTGGTTTGGTTGGGTTTGGTTGGGTTTGGATTGAATTGGTTTGGTTTGGTTTTGGATTGGTTTGGTTTGGACTGGATTGGGGAACTCTGTCCTGGTGTGCACAGGTGGAAGTGGAGTTTGCCAAGAACAGCTTTGACAACATGCTGCGGATCCCGACCCTGGAGCAGCTGTTCCAGACCAACGGGACCAGTCTGGGCCTGGACTTCTCTGTGGATGAAGAGGTCCTGGCCCACGAGTCCGGTCAGATTACACCACACACTGTTTTCTCTAAACTCTAAACCCGTGCAGGACTTCATATAGACTCTATGTACAAGCTAGAGTTAGAGATTTCATACTTGCTTCTTTAGAGTAAATTTTATTTTAGTATTGAGTTATTGTTCATGAATCTATTGTTGTGTGCTCCTCATTCCTACTGTTCCACTGTGGTACCAGTAAAGGATCTCATAATCTTAATCCTAATCCTAATTCTATTCAATTCAATGTAATAATAAATAATAATAATACATTTTATTTGAAAGCGCCTTTCAGAACACCCAAGGACACTGTACAATGGACACATTAAAAACAATAAAAACAAGAGCGACAGAATAAAACAGAGTACAATATTGAGAGGGTGCGCGCATAACTAGGTGTTATAGGACTGTCTGAACAGGTGAGTTTTGAGTCTGGATTTGAAGAATATGAATATGAATATTGAATATGTATTCTTATATTGCATTAAATCACCACAGTTGTCATCTTGGAGGTCTTTCCAGAACCATCATATTCACCGACACAGATCAGAGAATCCAACTGTTAATCTTAATCCTAATCTGAGTCTACATGTTGTTGTCATGGCAGGATCCACAGACTTTGGGAATGTGACGTTTGAGGTTCCTGGGATTCATCCGTACTTCTACATCGGATCAGACGCTCTGAATCACACCGAGGAGTACACAGGAGCTGCAGGTGCGGACCAGAGGCAGTCTGGGAACTGGAACTACTGTAGCCACAACCAGAGGCAGTCTGGGAACTGGAACTACTGTAGCCACAACCAGAGGCAGTCTGGGAACTGGAACTACTGTAGCCACAACCAGAGGCAGTCTGGGAACTGGAACTACTGTAGCCACAACCAGAGGCAGTCTGGGAACTGGAACTACTGTAGCCACAACCAGAGGCAGTCTGGGAACTGGAACTACTGTAGCCACAACCAGAGGCAGTCTGGGAACTGGAACTACTGTAGCCACAACCAGAGGCAGTCTGGGAACTGGAACTACTGTAGCCACAACCAGAGGCAGTCTGGGAACTGGAACTACTGTAGCCACAACCAGAGGCAGTCTGGGAACTGGAACTACTGTAGCCACAACCAGAGGCAGTCTGGGAACTGGAACTACTGTAGCCACAACCAGAGGCAGTCTGGGAACTGGAACTACTGTAGCCACAACCAGAGGCAGTCTGGGAACTGGAACTACTGTAGCCACAACCAGAGGCAGTCTGGGAACTGGAACTACTGTAGCCACAACCAGAGGCAGTCTGGGAACTGGAACTACTGTAGCCACAACCAGAGGCCAGTCTGGGAACTGGAACTACTGTAGCCACAACCAGAGGCAGTCTGGGAACTGGAACTACTGTAGCCACAACCAGAGGCAGTCTGGGAACTGGAACTACTGTAGCCACAACCAGAGGCAGTCTGGGAACTGGAACTAGCCACAACAACAACAACATCCATAGTTTAGTGATGGAAGAACAAGATTGATTATTCAGCCTTCATTTGCGGCGCTGTCAATACTTATTTAAATGATTACAGAATTCATTTATCATTTAATTTATCTATTTATTCCAAAAACCATCATTAACATAATTTGACAACAGAATAATACAGTCAATATACAAGGTTTGACTGAATATCCTGAGAAAAAGGTCCAAAACAATACATTTGACATTTCCTGAACTCTCTCAACACTTCTGTCCTTCTGTATTTCATTCTTGTTTTTGTCCAACAACGAGACTGGGCAGGAAAAAATGTCACGTCCATGTCCTAAACCCAACAGGAAGTCCGCCATATTGGATCAAGAGAGGAATTATAAAAATTCACACATTTGATAATTTAGACATCTGTGCGACAATCACAACATGCAGAGCTGGGATCATAAAGTCTGTTTTAGAATACAACATTATCATCAGGGATTTATCACAAATGTGGGTGAATAAAATAATCTTTGGTATCATTGAAGAACTCTATAGCGCCCCCTAAAGAGAGATAGGAGGCAGCACAAGTTGATGAAGGTCGAAGGGAGGGTTAGGGACTACAACACGACTTGCGGTTGTAATTGTCAGTTGTGACGTTGCAGGAGACGATAAGGCCCAGGTCTACACCCTGAGGATGGCCAAGGCCCTGGTCATGACCGCTCTGGACGTCCTGCTGAGCCCGGAGCTGCTGCAGCAAGTCCGACTGGAGTTTACTCACGTTAAAGAACAGGAAACACAGAAGGAGCGCTCACTGAGGACCACTCCCCAGGGGCCCGGACCACTCCCCAGGGGCCCGGACCTCTGAAGACACAGCAGGAGGAGTAGCGGGGGTTAGTCACAGAAAAAATCTAATCAAAATCATCAGTTCTGGCCTTTTCAGCAGAACAGACCTGTTTCTATTGCCCACTGTGGTGCATGATTTTATAGAAATGATTCTTGATCCATTAATAGAGATTTTTGAATTTTTGTTTTGGGACAGTGGCGGATCGGGGCCTTTCCACGGGGAGTTTGCATGTTCTCCCTGTGTTTTCATAGGTTTCCAAGTGCCCCAGTTTCCTCTAGGTACCCAGGTTTCCTCCAGGTGCTCCACGTTTCCTCCAGGTGCTCCGGTTTCCCCTGCCACTAAAACAGCATAGAGATTTACTACTTGTTTCTTTATTATGCTAAAGTTATTTTTTTATTGAATTTAAAACAATACAATATTTTGATTAATGAATCTACTGTTGTGTGCTCCTCATTCCTACTGTTCTGTCACCAGCGATGCAACACTGACATTTCCCCGCTGTGGGACAGATAAAGGATCTTTGAATCAACAGGTCTGAGTGATCGCAGACTGTGGAGAGAATGGGAAAAAACATCATCTGTTCTTCAAATGTAACAGGCTTTGGGTGACCTTAGTCTGTGAAATGTGTCATATAAATAAACTTCACATACTTCCTTCCTTCCGGAGGTTTCTCACTTTATCCCACTGGGTTTTTAATCGTTCCTCACCGATGACGGAGGGTCTAAGGACAGAGACGGTCCCGCTCTCTATGAACCAACGGCTCCATGTGTTTATCGTCCATCCTACACAGTGGTTAGGACTCTCACCTCTCAGCAAGAAGGTCCTGGGTTCGAATCTCGGTCGGAACGGGGCCTTTCTGTGTGGAGTTTTTATGTTCTCCCCGTGCTTGCGTAGGTTTCCTCCAGGTGCTCCAGTTTCCCCTACCACTAAAAAACATGCACAATAGATAGAATCCTCCAGCACTGATCCTGACCCAGAGCATCAACATCTGGAGGTTCCCGGGCGCTGTTACTACGGCGACCACTGCTCCTCACGTAAGCCTTTGGGCATCAGGGTCAAATGCAGAGGATGGATGGTCCTACGGGGATTAATAAAGTGCACATTTACCTTTAAAAAGTGATTAAAAAGTCAAAAATGCTCAAATCTGGCAAAATGTGTCTTAATCTGAGCACACTCTGACTGAGCCTGAAAACCAGATTCTTTGATGGGACAAAACAAAATGATGTTGTTATAAAAAGATACCGAGGGGTTTGTGAGACTGGCCAGACCCAGACCATGATTAAAAGAAACTGATTCTATTTTTTTAATTATTACTATTACTTTTATCTCCCTTTTAAAAACTGTTTATGATGCTCTGTTTTATTATGAAATGATTGTATATTTATTGACTTTTTAATGCATTTTGATCTGTTTTTTCATTTTTCTTGTGAAGCACTTTGAATTGCTGTGTAAACGAATTTGGCGATACAAATGTCTCCCTTGGAATGAGGAAATAAGTTTTTACAGTTTTCCAGGTCACGTCAGTCTCTGTTTCCGGCGGTTCTGAAGAGGCTAATCCTGGTTTATTTACCGGGTTTGTTCACAATGACATGTTGGCCTGAGCCTGGGCTTTGTCTCAACCACGCTCCAAATTTTGCATAAGCCACAGCAGATGCCACGGAGCGTTGCATAAGAGCGGAAGTATAATCAGCAGTTAATATCACATTACTGTTCCCAAACGGACGCATTAAAACCATTTAGGAAAAATAAACAATTTAATACAAAACACTTTAGAGACAGTTCATTTAAACAGATCTCACCATTAACAATGTCAGTTATCTTTCTTATCAGTTTATGCATTTGGACGTTTGTATTGTAAGTATTGTATCAATCCAAAGAGAATGTAAACATGGCAGAGATGCAGCTGGTGTCCTGGAGACTCAACAAAACAGAATCTAAATCAGATTCATCAGAAATGTAAAAATTAATACTGTGTTTATTACAAAAGATGGATTCAAATATGTACAGATGTCGTCACTAAGCAACGGAAAGATCAGGACGTCAGGCGTGTTCTTTCAGAGGACATCAGGCGTGTTCTTTCAGAGGACGTCAGGCGTGTTCTTTCAGAGGACATCAGGCGTGTTCTTTCAGAGGACGTCAGGCGTGTTCTTTCAGAGGACGTCAGGCGTGTTCCTTCAGAGGACGTCAGGCGTGTTCCTTCAGAGGACGTCAGGCGTGTTCCTTCAGAGGACGTCAGGCGTGTTCTTTCAGAGGACGTCAGGCGTGTTCTTTCAGAGGACGTCAGGCGTGTTCTTTCAGAGGACGTCAGGTGTGTTCTTTCAGAGGACGTCAGGCGTGTTCTTTCAGAGGACGTCAGGCGTGTTCTTTCAGAGGACGTCAGGCGTGTTCTTTCAGAGGACGTCAGGTGTGTTCTTTCAGAGGACGTCAGGTGTGTTCTTTCAGAGGACGTCAGGCGTGTTCTTTCAGAGGATTTCAGAGGACGTCAGGACGTGTTCTTTCAGAGGACGTCAGGACGTGTTCTTTCAGAGGACGTCAGGACGTGTTCTTTCAGAGGACGTCTGCCTTTGACACTGTCGACCATGAGATCCTCTTACAGAGACTAGAGGACTGGGTTGGCGTCGCTGGCACCGCCCTAAGTTGGTTTAGGTCTTACCTTGAAGACAGGAAGTACTTTGTGGAGATTGGAAACTGTGTCTCAGATCATATGGCCCTGACCTGTGGAGTACCACAGGGGTCGATCCTGGGACCTCTTCTGTTCAATCTCTACATGCTGCCGTTAGGTCAGTTAATACGCAGAAACAAAGTGTCCTATCATAACTATGCAGACGACACTCAGATCTATGTCTCACTGACTGCAGGAGAACATGGACCAGTGGACTCACTCCTTCACTGTATCCAACAGATCAGTGAGTGGATGCAAAACAACTTCCTTCAGCTAAACGCAGACAAAACTGAAATGATTGTCTTTGGTCCAGAAACAAAGAGAGAGCGTCATCTGTCACCTACAGTCTCTCTCCCTAAAACCTTCAAACAAGGTCAGAAATCTAGGGGTAATACTGGACTCAGACTTAAATTTTAATAGCCACATCAAATCAGTAACATCAGCAGCAGCTTTTTACCATCTAAAAAACATTGCCAGGATCAAAAACATAGTGTCTAAAGCAGACCTGGAGATTCTTATCCATGCATTTGTCTCCAGTAGGTTAGACTACTGCAATGGCCTGCTCACAGGTCTGTCCAAACAGGCTGTAAAACAGCTGCAGTACATTCAAAATGCAGCAGCTCGAGTCCTGACTAGAACCAGGAAGTACGACCATATTAGTCCTGACTAGAACCAGGAAGTACGACCACATTAGTCCTGACTAGAACCAGGAAGTACGACCACATTAGTCCTGACTAGAACCAGGAAGTACGACCATATTAGTCCTGACTAGAACCAGGAAGTACGACCACATTAGTCCTGACTAGGACCAGGAAGTACGACCATATTAGTCCTGACTAGAACCAGGAAGTACGACCACATTAGTCCTGACTAGAACCAGGAAGTACGACCACATTAGTCCAGTCCTCAGGTCTCTGCACTGGCTTCCTGTGGCTCAGAGAATAGACTTTAAAACAGCTCTGCTTGTTACAAGTCTCTCCATGGCCTCGCACCAAAATATATTAGTGACATGTTAGTCCCATATGAACCAGCCCGGACTCTGAGGAGCACAGGGACTGGACTCCTGCTGGGACCCTGAGGAGCACAGGGACTGGCCTCCTGCTGGGACTCTGAGGAGCACAGGGACTGGCCTCCTGCTGGGACTCTGAGGAGCACAGGGACTGGACTCCTGCTGGGACTCTGAGGAGCACAGGGACTGGACTCCTGCTGGGACTCTGAGGAGCACAGGGACTGGACTCCTGCTGGGACTCTGAGGAGCACAGGGACTGGCCTCCTGCTGGGACTCTGAGGAGCACAGGGACTGGACTCCTGCTGGGACTCTGAGGAGCACAGGGACTGGCCTCCTGCTGGGACTCTGAGGAGCACAGGGACTGGACTCCTGCTGGGACTCTGAGGAGCACAGGGACTGGACTCCTGTTAGTGCCCAGAGTCAGAACTAAACATGGGGAGGCTGCTTTTCAGATTCATGCTGCTAAAATCTGGAACAGTCTTCCTGAAGATGTGAGACAGGCCTCCCCTCTGACAATGTTTAAAACCAGGTTAAAGACAGTTCTGTTTAGCTGTGCTACAACTGAGGGATTTTATATTTTTAGCTTTCTTTTAATGTTCTGTGATTATTTATGATTTTAATGCTTTCTTGTTTTGTTCAGCACTTTGAATTGCCTTGTGTATGAATTGTGCTATACAAATAAACTTGCCTTGCCTAATTTGTAGATGTGACACCACAGAACAGGTGAAGATGTGTTTGATAGTGTCACGGTGGCTGAGTGGTTAGCTCAGGTTGTTTTATGTTTGTACTTGTGCACACTGAGGACTTTTGCTAATGAATTCCAGTGTGGTTTTACTGCAAATGGCAAATAAAATGAATCTGATCTGATCTGAATCTGAATCTGGTCAGCGTTATCTACTAGAGCCACTTTTGGACCAAGAACCACTTTTGGACCAAGAGCCACTATTGGACCAAGAACCACTATTGGACCAAGAACCACTTTTGGACCAAGAACCACTATTGGACCATCCTGTAAAGAAGTTTTTGAGAGGAAATAAGACGCCATACAAAAGCATAGGATAATTCTCTTTCCGGGTACACCCCCACCGGGGGGAGTGAGATAGCAGCATGTCACCGCAGGTGCTCATGGACCTTTTGGAGCCGGGACCCGCCCAGACTGGTCTACATCAGACTCATTCTAGGCAATGTTGGGGAAGTGTCTTGTTTAGCTTCATACATTTTCACTTGCAGTGGCACCACTTTCAGAGTGGAGTTTGCATGTTCTACCTGTGTCTACGCAAAACACACAACTCTGTTAGTCCTGACCAAGCTGAGCACCAAAGATCTTCTCCAGACAGAGACATTGGAAGGACGGGTCAAATGCAGAGGACATTGGGAAAATAACTAAAATGTAAATAGGAGAATTTTATGGTTTGACGAGCACATATCTCCAGAATGATGGACAATTGTCTTGATGATCCACCCGGAAGTAGAAAATCCTCCTATATCCCTTTAACTAGTGAGAGAGATCCAGACTCCAACTTCTGTTGTTTTTGTGACATAGTTCCATGTACAGTTGTGTTGAATCATTTTGATAAGTTTTTGCTCCTGTCTTTTCAGGAGTCGATGTGAAACTATGTCTTCTAGTCACAGGTAGATGGACCAATAGACCACGTTGAAGAAGAAGTAGGACGCAGGAAAGACGACCCTGGAGTACTTGTCGATGGCGTGCGTATCAATCCACATGGAGTTGTAGGCGCTGGAGCCCACGTGGCCGGTCACCTGGTCGTTCTCCATGGCCAGCTCCACCAGCATCCTCTCCCGCTTCACCCCGTTCTCCTCGGGCAGACCGTAGTGACCCGTGGTGTTGGCGTCGACCTCGCTGTAGCTGGACGAAAGCACGCCAGGGTGAGCCAGTCCACACGTGCAGGGTAGCTGCAGTCACACAAGCAAAGAGTCACACAAGCAACACACAATTTAATGCAGACTCTACGGACCATTTCTGTCAATATATATAATATATATAACCAGCCCGGACTCTGAGGAGCACAGGGACTGGACTCCTGCTGGGACTCTGAGGAGCACAGGGACTGGCCTCCTGCTGGGACTCTGAGGAGCACAGGGACTGGACTCCTGCTGGGACTCTGAGGAGCACAGGGACTGGACTCCTGCTGGGACTCTGAGGAGCACAGGGACTGGCCTCCTGCTGGGACTCTGAGGAGCACAGGGACTGGACTCCTGTTAGTGCCCAGAGTCAGAACTAAACATGGGGAGGCTGCTTTTCAGATTCATGCTGCTAAAATCTGGAACAGTCTTCCTGAATATGTGAGACAGGCCTCCTCTCTGACAATGTTTAAAACCAGGTTAAAGACAGTTCTGTTTAGCTGTGCTACAACTGAGGGATTTTATATTTTTATCTTTCTTTTTAATGTTCTGTGATTATTTATGATTTTAATGCTTTCTTGTTTTGTTCAGCACTTTGAGTTGCCTTGTGTATGAATTGTGCTATATAAATAAACTTGCCTTGTCTTGCCTAGTTGGTTGGAGGCACCATTGAGTTAGTTTTTGTATAGCCCTAAGTCACAACAGCAGTCGTGGTCCCTATGGACCAACGGTTCTTATCTGTTAGTTATTATTGCATTCCCTGTGTTCCAACTGTTTGATTCTCTGATCTGTTGTTGGCAAATCAACAACTTTGTGAATTCCTCCGAGACGCCTGTTGTTGTGCTTTAGAGGGACACCAAGATAAATGGAACTCACAGCCTCGCGCAGCTTCCTCTCTTTGCGCTCCTGCAGCGTGGACAGATAGTTCACCGCCGCGTACTCGATCACGGACAGAAAGACAAAAACAAAACTGATCCAGAGATAGATGTCCACAGCTTTGATGTAGGACACTCTGGGCATCGAGGCGTTGACTCCGGTGATGATGGTGGACATGGTCAGGACTGTGGTGATGCCTGCACACAACAACAACAACAATAACACACAACAACACACAACAACAACCTGAAGCAGGAGCTCAACCCCAAACAGAAGAGAGTTGGGGCCTCACCCAGAGGGACCCTGGCAGGGACGGCTCTGCGGTCGATCCAGAAGGACACCCAGGACAGCATGACCATGAGCGTGGCGGGAAAGTAGGTCTGCAGCAGGAAGAAGAAGATGTGCCGCCGCAGAGTGAAGTTGATGTACAGACGGTTGTACCAGCCTGGACACACACACACACACAGACACACACACAGGAGCACACACACACACACACACACACACACACACACATATAGGAGCACAGACACACACAGTAAGGTCAGAGGTAACCTGAAATGTACCTGTGCTGCTGAAAAAGGCCATGTACCTGTGCTGCTGTAAAAGGCCATGTACCTGTGCTGCTGTAAAAGGCCATGTACCTGTGCTGCTGTAAAAGGCCATGTACTTGTGCTGCTGTAGAAGGCCATGTACCTGTGCTGCTGGAAAAGGCCATGTACCTGTGCTGCTGTAGTAGGCCATGTACCTGTGCTGCTGAAAAAGGCCATGTACCTGTGCTGCTGTAAAAGGACATGTACCTGTGCTGCTGTAGAAGGCCATGTACCTGTGCTGCTGTAGAAGGCCATGTACCTGTGCTGCTGTAGAAGGCCATGTACCTGTGCTGCTGTAGAAGGCCATGTACCTGTGCTGCTGTAGAAGGCCATGTACCTGTGCTGCTGTAGAAGGACATGTACCTGTGCTGCTGTAGAAGGCCATGTACCTGTGCTGCTGTAGAAGGACATGTACCTGTGCTGCTGTAGAAGGCCATGTACCTGTGCTGCTGTAGAAGGCCATGTACCTGTGCTGCTGTAGAAGGCCATGTACCTGTGCTGCTGTAAAAGGCCATGTACCTGTGCTGCTGTAGAAGGCCATGTACCTGTGCTGCTGAAAAAGGACATGTACCTGTGCTGCTGTAGAAGGCCATGTACCTGTGCTGCTGAAAAAGGACATGTACCTGTGCTGCTGTAGAAGGCCGTGTACCTGTGCTGCTGTAGAAGGCCGTGTAACCTGTGCTGCTGTAGAAGGCCATGTACCTGTGCTGCTGAAAAAGGACATGTACCTGTGCTGCTGTAGAAGGCCATATACCTGTGCTGCTGAAAAAGGACATGTACCTGTGCTGCTGTAGAAGGCCGTGTACCTGTGCTGCTGTAGAAGGCCGTGTACCTGTGCTGCTGTAGAAGGCCAGTTTGGTGGTGGTGTGGAACTCCTGGATGAGGAACTGGGACAGAGAGATCTTGTCGTCGGTGCTCAGAGAGCGGTTCCCTTCTTTCCAGTACAGCATCAGGTCGTCGTCGGTGTAAGCATCTGAGACAGAGCCAGAGTCAGAACAGGCTCTCTACTCTCTGTCTGGTAACGGGGCATACGCACAGCTCTCGATCTCCAGGGAGCAGGTCTGAGTGTCCAGAGGGAAGCGGCTGAGGTCCATGCTGCACATGGCGGTCACTGTCACCCTGTCACACAGATTCAAGCATTTATTTGTATGGCACAGTCTGTGTACGAGGCCATTCAAAGTGCTTCACAGGAACAGAAACACAGATCAAAATAAGTTTGTGTGAGCTTCAGTCGGACGGGGATTATTCAAAACAAAGGAATCTAAATCTGGAGAGTTCAATCTCCAACTCGCGGCTGAGCTTTCATTCCCTTTCAAAAGATCTTTGGATAAGAACGAAGCGTCGGAAAACCTGCAAACTGAAGAATAGGTGATGTCTGAGCAACCGTCCTTTGTTTTTACAGATCAAAACACATGAAAGAACCAAAAGGCAATAAAATATACAATCATTTCATGTCAAAACAGAGAAGCACAAAAGTGTTGGGCGTTAAACTCAATAATGTGGGTTTAAAAAGAAAGATAAAAACGATAAACAGTACAGGAGACCAGTCCCTGTGCTCCTCAGAGTCCCAGCAGGAGACCAGTCCCTGTGCTCCTCAGAGTCCCAGCAGGAGACCAGTCCCTGTGCTCCTCAGAGTCCCAGCAGGAGGCCAGTCCCTGTGCTCCTCAGAGTCCCAGCAGGAGGCCAGTCCCTGTGCTCCTCAGAGTCCCAGCAGGAGGCCAGTCCCTGTGCTCCTCAGAGTCCCAGCAGGAGGCCAGTCCCTGTGCTCCTCAGAGTCCCAGCAGGAGGCCAGTCCCTGTGCTCCTCAGAGTCCCAGCAGGAGGCCAGTCCCTGTGCTCCTCAGAGTCCCAGCAGGAGACCAGTCCCTGTGCTCCTCAGAGTCCCAGCAGGAGGCCAGTCCCTGTGCTCCTCAGAGTCCCAGCAGGAGGCCAGTCCCTGTGCTCCTCAGAGTCCCAGCAGGAGGCCAGTCCCTGTGCTCCTCAGAGTCCCAGCAGGAGACCAGTCCCTGTGCTCCTCAGAGTCCCAGCAGGAGGCCAGTCCCTGTGCTCCTCAGAGTCCCAGCAGGAGGCCAGTCCCTGTGCTCCTCAGAGTCCCAGCAGGAGGCCAGTCCCTGTGCTCCTCAGAGTCCCAGCAGGAGACCAGTCCCTGTGCTCCTCAGAGTCCCAGCAGGAGGCCAGTCCCTGTGCTCCTCAGAGTCCCAGCAGGAGGCCAGTCCCTGTGCTCCTCAGAGTCCCAGCAGGAGGCCAGTCCCTGTGCTCCTCAGAGTCCCAGCAGGAGGCCAGTCCCTGTGCTCCTCAGAGTCCCAGCAGGAGGCCAGTCCCTGTGCTCCTCAGAGTTGCTTCATATGACACTAACATGTCACAGACTTTGGTAGGGTCCATAGAGTTCAGAAACAACAAAGGTTTAGAGAAGAACATTGGTCTTTACTCTAATGTATTTTAACATCTGTTCTGAACCGTTGTTCCGTCAGTGAGTGGACCTGGCTTGGACACGTTCACCTGAAGGGCTGTCTGAAGGCTGTATGCAGATTTAGTTTGCAGCAGAGATGATAAATGAAAAAACATAATCCCGCTCACAGGATCAGAGCGGCCCCAGTGGAGTGTCACTGTTCAATCTGCCCTTGCTCCCGCCCCTCACATTAATCCAGCCATGTGATCAGAGCCTTATCTACTAGTTACTATCCCACTCCGCGGCTCCATATGTGGAGCGAGCACGTGGGGCTGAGCCCTATGTGTCAGAATGAAGATTAGAATGGGGCTTTTATCCTGATTATTAGCCACCTGCGTTGGCTCGTATACGTCTCTGTCTTAGTCATATCTGTTCAAACGGGACAGTGGGCCGCGACCATGTGATGTGCCTGGTGCCAATATGTGACTGCAGTGAGTGGAGCGTTGGCTGTGGGCCAGCTGTTCCTCTGAATGTGGATTACTGACTACACTGAGGCCCGGGGACTCTCTAAAATTAAAAATGTTGAACTGTGGAGCAACTGCTCTGATAATTGGCACAACCTTCTCCTGAAACACATCGTCTGGAGCAGCAGCTGGAGAGTGTTTGTCTTAGAGAACCAACACACCACTAACACCCTGACCTGCCCCAGTGAGCCGCTCCTGCTGACAACACATATGTGTATGTATCAGAGGTGGGACAAAGTCATTGTTTAGCAAGTCACAAGTCAGTCTCAATTCATTGCCCTCAAGTCCCGAGTCAAGTCACAAGTCAAGACAGGCAAGTCCCGAGTCGAGTCCAAGTCAAAGGCCAACAAATCTCAAGTCAGTCCCAAGTCCTACGGTTTGACTTTCGAGTCCTCTCGAGTCTTTTTGACCGCGATTTGTTTCTTGTTGGTCTCCACGTACTTTTGTAGGCAAACAAAATAATGTTAGGAATCATTTTGCTGGTGCATTCTCGTTGGTCTCTGACCCATGGACTAACAGTTTGTTCCATGTTGTTGGCTGCTGGTAAATCAAAACTATGTTGTGCCAGATGCAGGCTCAGTTACACATGCACAGACCACACATAAAATCAGAGCAGTCCGTGTCAACATACTTTTTATCTTTGGGGTTTTTAATGGGAAGTAGCAAGTGCAGCATATATGAATATGAGTATTGGGCTAGGACCTGTATCTATATAATCAGTTTAATGTCCGTAGTGGTTATTGTTCCAAATGTCCTACTGTAGAATAGGGGTAGTATGAGGGGTCTAGGCTTTGGACCTGGGGCAGCTCGCCATCAACTGGACCAGCATTAGCAATATCTCATAATTACCAATATATCATTACATAATAAAATGTCTCATATAAATTAATTCAATCAGTCAAAGCACTGATTCTCATATCAATGCACCATAAACAATAGTGCAAATATTAATCTAGCTTAGTGCACATAATCAAAACAACTATCTAATGTATGCAAACTTTAGCAGGAGGAGCACAGCAAAAACATACTCATAATAATAGGCCTCGGCGCCCACACAGAAAAATATAAGAAAGAGCCAACAGAGCAGCGCAGGCTAGCGCTAGTTTGACTCACCAGTTCCTCTTTAAAACACGGCACACGGTGTGACAACTGCGTCGATTCAATTGTATGAGGCGCCTGTAGTGAAAGCATATAATTACGGTTTGTAGAACAAAATATGACGTTAGGTCGCGATAAATACCTGCAGCTCGCTCATTTCCAGCTCCCCTACGACAACACACCCACCGGTGAATGCAGTCCGCTTGTTTAGGGAAGTGTTGCTGCGCGAACTGCCTGGAACTCACGTTCGAACTCTCTCGCGAGCGCTACAACTACCGCGAGGCTTTGTTTCTTCAGAGACGGCATAGATAGAAAGAGAGATGCGGAGAAAGGTAAAAATGGCCCGGGTTACGCAAGTCTTTACAAGTCAATTGGCGCAAGTCCAAGTGAAAGTCAGAGTCATTGATGTTAAAGTCCAAGCCGAGTTGCAAGTCTTTTTATATTTGGTCAAGTCGAGTCTAAAGTCATCAAAATCATGACTCGAGTCTGACTCGAGTCCAAGTCACATGACTCGAGTCCACACCTCTGGTATGTATAAATATATATATATAATGTATGTATTCATACGGAGCTCACTCGTTCTGCTGAAGAGGGCCGGGTAAGCTCTGGACATGGTCATTATGGAATGTTCTGGAATATCGTCTCTTTTAGATCTTCCACCTCCGCTGCTGTGGCCTAAAGTGCTGCTGCATTTTATTTCTATTGTTTGCTGCTTTTAGAATGATCTATTTATTTGTTTTGTTTGTTTGGATGTATGCATTTCTCCTTCAGCGATCAATAAAGTATCTGTCTCTCTCTGTTTGGGTCTGAGTTGAATTCATAAAATGGGAAAGTTAAAGCAGATATTTCACATTTGTGTTAAGTTCTGTTTCATGTTTGAGGTGTTTTGGATCAGGCAAAGGATTTCCTGAAGAAAAGTAGATGAGCCCAGATATTTAGACTGAACCAAAACTGGACAAAAGGTAAAGAAATATTTTCATCCTAGACTGATCAATCCGGCAATTATAATTTTTAAGCTATTAAGCTATTAAGCTACTTATGCCTTTTTGCTTGAATGCATTTGGATCTGTGTTTGTTTTCTTGATAAACATGTGTAACCTCTGTATTGACCTCTTACCATCAAGTTAATGATAATAAGATAACATTATTTCAGGGGCCACTGATGTGGCCTGACAGCCCTGGATGGTGTCAGCTCTGATCTGTATCCAACAGTCGGACCAGCCTCAAAACCTCATCTGTCTCTGTCTCTGCAAACGCTTTGCAGAATTCCACAGTTTGACACAATCTCTCTCGTTGCTCATCATCAGGAGTCCCACAAATGAAGCGGAATTCAGATTAATTTGCAGAAAAACCACATTAGAAAAACTGTGCAAGACTGCCCCAGTGTGTACCAGAATTTCAGACTAGAAGAATGAAGCTCACAGCGCTCAAAGTCCTCCCACTGCATCTGTCAATCACACTCAAATCTTCCTGGGAGCAATCATGCTCTGCCCGTATCAAGCTCCATCCAAGCAGCAGCTTCATTCACGCTGCAACCCTCCTCCTCCCCGTCTCCGCCTCGTTCCGGCTCGTTCTGGCTCTTTTCATCCCTCTCCTGTAGCTCCCACCACCAGAGTCTAGGCCCCGGGGGATTTCATCTCATAATCTCTTTCCCCTTCTGCAGTTGTCCTGTTCTCTGTCGGGGTCTAAGGCCAAATCCTAACCACATTCTGTACAACACAATAAATGTAATCTTGAAAATCACAAGTGTGATTTATGTTGTGTCAGATGAATGCCAACAATATACAATTCTAATAATACTCATGTTTTGTCTGTTAGTCTCTCCAGATGAAAACCAATGGAATTCTGAGACTTTGGAGTTGGATCCTTCTCTGTGTTCTCTGACATTGTTCCCACTTATCATTAGAGGGCAAAACTACAGGACCTAAGCTTCACTAATAGTCCAAAAGGGCTGTACTGTGTGTGTTACTGCATGTATTGTGTGTGTGTTACTGCATGTATTGTGTGTGTTACTGCATGTATTGTGTGTGTATGTTTTTAATTGTGAAGCTCTTTCTGATCCTGGTCTGTTAAAGGCGCTACACATTGAAATGGCAACACTTTAGATTAGCGCTCACTCATTTACAGCTAACTGAGTGCTAATTAGTGTACCCTAACTCTAACTCTGACTCTGACTCTAACCCTAACCCTAACTCTAACTCTAACTCTAACTCTAACCCTAACTCTGACTCTAACTCTAACTCTAACCCTAACCCTAACCCTAACTCTGACCGTAACTCTGACCCTAACTCTAACCCTAACTCTGACCCTAACTCTGACCCTAACTCTAACTCTGACCCTAACTCTAACCCTAACTCTGACCGTAACTCTGACCCTAACTCTAACCCTAACTCTGACCCTAACTCTGACCCTAACTCTAACTCTGACCCTAACTCTGACCCTAACTCTAACTCTGACTCTAACTCTAACCCTAACCCTAACTCTGACCGTAACTCTGACCCTAACTCTAACCCTAACTCTGACCCTAACTCTGACCCTAACTCTAACTCTGACCCTAACTCTGACCCTAACTCTAACTCTGACCCTAACTCTAACTCTGACTCTAACTCTAACCCTAACTCTGACCCTAACTCTGACCGTAACTCTGACCCTAACTCTAACCCTAACTCTGACCCTAACTCTGACCCTAACTCTAACTCTGACCCTAACTCTGACCCTAACTCTAACTCTAACTCTGACCCTAACTCTAACTCTGACTCTAACTCTAACTCTAACCCTAACTCTGACCCTAACTCTAACCCTGACCCTAACTCTGACCCTAACTCTGACTCTAACTCTGACTCTAACCCTAACTCTAATCCACAGGGAAAGTGTCAGTTAGGAGTCAGTTAGATGTGGAATAAGGACTACTAATTGCTTAATAATTACCAACTAGAAACTTGCAATGGCTGAAGCCATTGCGATTGACTGCGGAACAGATCTAATGTGGAAATCTGCTAAAAAAAATCCTTGAAATCCTTTAAAAGGCCTTGAAACTGTTAAAATACTTGATAGATATTTGAAACTCCTGAAGTCCTTGAAATTGTTGAAACCTTTAAACTCCTGAAATCCTTGAAACTGTTGAAACATTGAAACTCCTGAAATCCTTGAAACTTTTTTTAAACCTGGAAACTGTTGAAAGTGTGGAAACTCCTGAAATCCTTGAACCTCCTGATATATCCTTGAAACTGGTTAAATTCTTAAACAGTTGAAATCCTTGAAACTACTGAATGTATTGAAAGTGTCCTTGAAACTGAAAAATCCCCTCACCGCTGAAACAATTTGGTTCCTGTAACTAAGGAAACCTGGTCTGTGGTCATTATCTGGTGGTGGTCTGAGTCTTCGTTTGGGTCTTGGTCTGGTGGTATAATGCAACCTATTAGGTTGCATTATACTGGTTTACATGGAAAAATCCCTATTAGGTTGCATTATACTGGTTTACATGGAAAAATCCCTATTAGGTTGCATTATACTGGTTTACATGGAAAAATCCCTATTAAGTTGCATTATACTGGTTTACATGGAAAAATCTCTATTAAGTTGCATTATACTGGTTTACATGGAAAAATCCCTATTAGGTTGCATTATACTGGTTTACATGTACAAATCCCTATTAAGTTGCTTTATACTGGTTTACATGTAAAAACCCCTATTAGGTTACATTATAGTGGTTTACATGTAAAAATCCTTATTAAGTTGCATTATACTGGTTTACATGTAAAAACCCCTATTAAGTTCCATTATACTGGTTTACATGTAAAAACCCCTATTAAGTTCCATTATACTGGTTTACATGTAAAAACCCTATTAAGTTGCATTATACTGGTTTACATGGAAAAATCCCTATTAGGTTGCATGATTACACTGAAGTCCTTGAAACTGCTGAAGTCCTTGAAACTGCTGAAGTCCTTGAAACTGCTGAAGTCCTTGAAACTGTTGAAGTCCTTGAAACTCTTGAAATCTTGAAACTGCTGAAATCCTTGAAACTGTTGAATCCTTGAAACTGTTGAATCATTGAAACTGTAGAAATGTCTGAAAGAGCTGAAGTCCTATTAAAATGCATGGGCCTATTAAAATGCATTGCAGAATTCTCAATGCAGATTTTTGTCCGATTGCGGAAAAACCGGAAATCGCTGAAGTCCCAAAAGTAATAGCAATAATCTCCCAAACATGTGGAACGTTTTGATGTATAACTTGTGGAAATTGTTGAAAATGTGAAAGCTGTGAAACGTGTCAAAAAAAATGACGGAATAAAGAAATACAAAACCAATGGTTGACTGCGGAAGGTTCCGCAGTCAATCAATTAAGCATAAATCATTCACTTAATTATTTACATGTAATTAGCAGTGTAGAGAGAGCAGAGGAGGTGTGGACTGACCGGAGGCTGTAGAGCACCTTTCCGTCCGGATAAACGCGCAGCATCACGTTGTCGGTGGTGGTGTCGTGGGTGAAGGACTTTTTGGAGTGAACGAAGAACATATCTGGCACCCAGATCTTCTTGACCAGGCGCCCGTCGAACGTCATGCTCTGGTTGTGGTTGCTGTGAAACGACAGGCGCTCATCCTTCCAGTAGTGGCGCAGGTACAAGGTCATGGTGAAGTCCTGCAGAAGACCAGAAGAGGCTAGACACCAGGAGCAGAGGGTAACGCCAAGGGACAGGAGGAGCAAAGGTACAAACAATGTTCTCCTTTATAGTGTCATGGTGTGGATTTTGTTATTTTGTGTCTCTCTGTACCTGTGTCTCTGTGTCTCTCTGTACCTGTGTCTCTCTGTGTCTATATGTACCTGTGTCTCTGTGTCTCTCTGTACCTGTGTCTCTCTGTGTCTATATGTACCTGTGTCTCTGTGTTTATATGTACCTGTGTCTCTGTGTTTATATGTACCTGTGTTTCTGTGTCTCTCTGTACCTGTGTCTCTCTGTGTCTATATGTACCTGTGTCTCTGTGTCTATATGTACCTGTGTCTCTGTGTTTATATGTACCTGTGTCTATATGTACATGTGTCTCTCTGTGTTTATATGTACCTGTGTCTCTGTGTCTATATGTACCTGTGTTTCTGTGTCTATATGTACCTGTGTCTCTCTGTGTTTATATGTACCTGTGTCTCTGTGTCTATATGTACCTGTGTTTCTGTGTCTATATGTACCTGTGTCTATATGTACATGTGTCTCTGTGTCTATATGTACCTGTGTCTCTCTGTGTCTATATGTACCTGTGTCTCTGTGTCTCTATGTACCTGTGTCTCTCTGTGTCTATATGTACCTGTGTCTCTATGTACCTGTGTCTCTCTGTGTCTATATGTACCTGTGTCTCTGTGTCTATATGTACCTGTGTCTCTGTGTCTATATGTACCTGTGTCTCTGTGTCTATATGTACCTGTGTCTCTGTGTCTACAGTATATGTACCTGTGTCTCTCTGTGTCTATATGTACCTGTGTCTCTGTGTCTATATGTACCTGTGTCTCTGTGTCTATATGTACCTGTGTCTCTGTGTGTCTATATGTACCTGTGTCTCTGTGTCTATATGTACCTGTGTCTCTGTGTCTATATGTACCTGTGTCTCTCTGTGTCTATATGTACCTGTGTCTCTGTGTCTATATGTTCCTGTGTCTCTGTGTCTACAGTATATGTACCTGTGTCTCTCTGTGTCTATATGTACCTGTGTCTCTCTGTGTGTCTATATGTACCTGTGTCTCTGTGTCTATATGTACCTGTGTCTCTCTGTGTCTATATGTACCTGTGTCTCTGTGTCTATATGTACCTGTGTCTCTGTGTCTATATGTACCTGTGTCTCTGTGTCTATATGTACCTGTGTCTCTATGTACCTGTGTCTCTGTGTCTATATGTACCTGTGTCTCTGTGTCTATATGTACCTGTGTCTCTGTGTCTATATGTACCTGTGTATCTGTGTCTATATGTACCTGTGTCTCTCTGTGTCTATATGTACCTGTGTCTCTGTGTCTATATGTACCTGTGTCTCTGTGTGTCTATATGTACCTGTGTCTCTGTGTCTATGTGTACCTGTGTCTCTGTGTCTATATGTACCTGTGTCTCTGTATCTATATGTACCTGTGTCTCTGTGTGTCTATATGTACCTGTGTCTCTGTGTCTATATGTACCTGTGGTTCTGTGTGTCTATATGTACCTGTGTCTCTGTGTCTATATGTACCTGTGTCTCTCTGTGTCTATATGTACCTGTGTCTCTGTGTCTCTATGTACCTGTGTCTCTCTGTGTCTATATGTACCTGTGTCTCTATGTACATGTGTCTCTGTGTCTATATGTACCTGTGTCTCTCTGTGTCTATATGTACCTGTGTCTCTGTGTCTATATGTACCTGTGTCTCTGTGTGTCTATATGTACCTGTGTCTCTGTGTCTATGTGTACCTGTGTCTCTGTGTCTATATGTACCTGTGTCTCTGTATCTATATGTACCTGTGTCTCTGTGTGTCTATATGTACCTGTGTCTCTGTGTCTATATGTACCTGTGGTTCTGTGTGTCTATATGTACCTGTGTCTCTGTGTCTATATGTACCTGTGTCTCTCTGTGTCTATATGTACCTGTGTCTCTGTGTCTCTATGTACCTGTGTCTCTGTGTCTATATGTACCTGTGTCTATATGTACATGTGTCTCTGTGTCTATATGTACCTGTGTCTCTCTGTGTCTATATGTACCTGTGTCTCTGTGTCTCTATGTACCTGTGTCTCTCTGTGTCTATATGTACCTGTGTCTCTATGTACCTGTGTCTCTCTGTGTCTATATGTACCTGTGTCTCTGTGTCTATATGTACCTGTGTCTCTGTGTCTATATGTACCTGTGTCTATATGTACCTGTGTCTCTCTGTGTCTATATGTACCTGTGTCTCTGTGTCTATATGTACCTGTGTCTCTGTGTCTATATGTACCTGTGTCTCTGTGTGTCTATATGTACCTGTGTCTCTGTGTCTATATGTACCTGTGTCTCTGTGTCTATATGTACCTGTGTCTCTGTGTGTCTATATGTACCTGTGTCTCTCTGTGTCTATATGTACCTGTGTCTCTGTGTCTATATGTTCCTGTGTCTCTGTGTCTACATATATGTACCTGTGTCTCTCTGTGTCTATATGTACCTGTGTCTCTGTGTCTATATGTACCTGTGTCTCTGTGTCTATATGTTCCTGTGTCTCTGTGTCTACAGTATATGTACCTGTGTCTCTCTGTGTCTATATGTACCTGTGTCTCTGTGTCTATATGTACCTGTTCTGTGTCTATATGTACCTGTGTTCTGTGTCTATATGTACCTGTGTCTCTCTGTGTCTATATGTACCTGTGTCTATATGTACTGTGTCTCTGTGTCTATATGTACCTGTGCTCCTCTGTCTATATGTACCTGTGTCTCTGTGTCTATATGTACCTGTGTCTCTCTGTGTCTATATGTACCTGTGTCTTGGTCTATATGTACCTGTGTCTCTCTGTGTCTATATGTACCTGTGTCTCTGTGTCTATATGTACCTGTGCTCCTCTGTCTATATGTACCTGTGTCTATATGTACCTGTGTCTCTGTGTCTATATGTACCTGTGTCTATATGTACCTGTGTCTCTGTGTCTATATGTACCTGTGCTCCTCTGTCTATATGTACCTGTGTCTCTGTGTCTATATGTACCTGTGTCCTCTGTCTATATGTACCTGTGTCTATATGTACATGTGTGTCTATATGTACCTGTGCTCCTCTGTCTATATGTACCTGTGTCTATATGTACATGTGTGTCTATATGTACCTGTGCTCCTCTGTCTATATGTACCTGTGTCTATATGTACATGTGTGTCTATATGTACCTGTGCTCCTCTGTCTATATGTACCTGTGGGTCTATATGTACCTGTGCTCCTCTCTTGTTGCTGGTCCGTTATACTGTCAGTGTTCCTGGTTCCGTGTTTCTTTGGATGTGTGTGTTTTCTCCTGGAGTTTTGTTTTTTTATAATTAAATCATTATTTTGGGTCCTTCCTGCTTCTCGCCAGAAACATGAAGTTGGACCTTTTTGACCCGGGACCCGCCCTGACCGGTCCGAGCCGACCCAGACCAAACACTGCAGAGGTTTTAGTCGAGCCGTGGCTGCAGCTGTGGTTGCAGCTGTGGTTGCAGCTGTGGCTGCAGCTGAGGTGACGCAGAGGAAGAGGAAACAGAAGTGTGGGTCTGAAGGCCATGAACCGTCTGGTTTCAGCAGTCGCAGCTGTGGTCGCAGCTGTGGTCGCAGCTGTGGTTGCAGCTGTGGTCGCTGTGGTCGCAGCTGTGGTCGCAGCTGTGGTCGCAGCTGTGTTGAAGAGAAGCAGCTCGAGTTATCATTATGAAAAAGGAAGAACATGATAATTAAACATGTATGACCTGAGCTGAAAAGACCTGGGCTCAAAGACACCTTTAAGTTCAGAAACGCTCTGATGGAAAGAGTTTGTTTTTGTACAGATCAATAGTGAAGGGTTTTATCGCCTGTTTCTTTCAGCCATAATATTACATGTTTAGGATTCTGCACAGTTCTTATCTAGTGCTAATGTTGAACTGTTCTCACAAAGCCATGGATCAACGGTACAAGAACATGGGACAGAGACTGGAATGGAAACGTAACTCTCCAATGAATGGATCCAAGAGATAAAAGTGCAGAGTCAGACACTCTCCACCGCTCACATCCACGTCCAGTTATACAGTTGTGTAGAGCAGTGTTTCTCAGACTGGGGTACGCGTATATATAGACAGTATTTTATTAAGCCAGCAGGTGGCAGCAGAACTCCCTGGTTTGGTCAAAGATCACTCTGAGCACTCTGAGCAGGAGAGACAGAGGTGAAGCAGACATGGAGTAATATAGTCAGGGTCAGGCTACATTTGGAGGCAGTTTGACCAGTAAATGTGTCTCCAGAGCTGACAGAGACCATGTGGAGGGTCAGAGCAGCAGACCATGTGGAGGGTCAGGGCAGCAGACCATGTGGAGGGTCAGGGCAGCAGACCATGTGGAGGGTCAGGACAACAGACCATGTGGAGGGTCAGGGCAGCAGACCATGTGGAGGGTCAGGGCAGCAGACCATGTGGAGGGTCAGAGCAGCAGACCATGTGGAGGGTCAGGGCAGCAGACCATGTGGAGGGTCAGGACAACAGACCATGTGGAGGGTCAGGGCAGCAGACCATGTGGAGGGTCAGGGCAGCAGACCATGTGGAGGGTCAGAGCAGCAGACCATGTGGAGGGTCAGAGCAGCAGACCATGTGGAGGGTCAGAGCAGCAGACCATGTGGAGGGTCAGAGCAGCAGACCATGTGGAGGGTCAGAGCAGCAGACCATGTGGAGGGTCAGAGCAGCAGACCATGTGGAGGGTCAGAGCAGCAGACCATGTGGATGGTCAGAGCAGCAGACCATGTAGAGGGTCAGTACAGCAGACCATGTGGATGGTCAGAGCAGCAGACCATGTGGAGGGTCAGGACAGCAGACCATGTGGATGGTCAGAGCAGCAGACCATGTGGAGGGTCAGAGCAGCAGACCATGTGGAGGGTCAGGACAGCAGACCATGTGGATGGTCAGAGCAGCAGACCATGTGGATGGTCAAAGCAGCAGACCATGTGGAGGGTCAGGACAGC